AGCTCTCAGAAACTCACTACTTCGAGACCAATCTACCACCGAGTACTCTAGCCGAACATACGGCGCTTGCAAATGCCTTTGTCAAGCAGCATCATGATGCAAAGCGACCTGTCGTTCTTCTCACTTCAGGCGGGACTACAGTGCCACTAGAGAACCAGACAGTACGCTTCATCGATAACTTTTCGGCCGGAACACGAGGAGCTACTTCAGCCGAGTATTTCCTCTCCCACGGCTATGCCGTGATCTTCCTACACCGACAATTCTCGCTCCTTCCGTTCTCTAGACATTATTCCCATTCGACAAACTGTTTCCTCGATTTCTTATCCGAATGGGGGCGCATCGGTGAGGACGAAGAGGATGGCGGGAAAGCCGAGCAGGCAGCAACCCCAGATGTAGTCGTGAAGGCCAAGTACCGGCAGGAAATGTTATCTGTGCTGAGGAAGTACCAGGAAGCCAAAAAAAAGAACCTACTTCTTCTACTGCCGTTCACGACCGTGACGAGTTATCTTTTTACATTGAAGGCATTGGCATGTGAGATGCAATGCTTGGGAAATGAGGCATTGTTCTACCTTGCAGCTGCTGTGTCGGACTTCTTCGTACCTCCCAGCAGGATGGCGGAACATAAAATTCAAAGTGGAGATATACCTTCATTAGGCAGTGACGGTTCTGGGGTTGGTGGTGGTGGTGGAAAGAAATTAATCGTTGATCTGGATCCTGTGCCAAAGTTTCTGAAAAGATTAGTGGAACAATGGGCTCCACAGGCAATGATTGTCTCTTTTAAGGTCCGCCCCCTCTTTGAAGAGAAGTAAATCTTTATAAAGATTAACATACTGATTTTATAAAAACAGCTGGAAACCGATCCCCAAATGCTCCTCTCAAAATGCAGACAAAGTCTTGAGCGTTACTCCCACCACCTTGTTATTGGAAATCTCCTCTCTACACGAAAACGCGAGGTCGTCTTTGTAGACCGAGAGGGCGTTGAGTGGATCCGTACACCAGACGCAGGCCAAGACTCAGAGGAGGTTGAGATTGAAAGTCTGATAGTTCCCGCTGTTATCCGAAAGCATCAAGAAATGCTTCAGAGACGGAAGACTGGCGATAAAAAATAGGCCTTAAAGATGGCCGAGACGCACTATACAAAGCAGGATACCATATAGCATTTGTTCAGTACAGTTTCTCTCCTCTATGAAGGGTATCGCCTAAACAAGCTACCACATCAGCGTTCATTTCTCTCTCTCATAGTACATATTACCGCTTTCCGATATCAAAGGTATTGGATATAAGCACATGTATCCATTGTTGCCCATCCGATTCCCACTGCAAATGCCCATCCGACGTGAGAATATTTGAGGGAAAGATGTGGTGGTACTATATCAACTGTAAAAATATATAGACATGTAAAGTACATGTATGTCTCTAATATCTCAACGAATATTGCTTTATATATGTTTGTGTGTATAGATGACTACGTATTTAGCCAGGAAGGTTGACTACAGGTAGGCTTACGACACTGTACTCCCGCTACGAATGAAAATGTCAACGAGTGATACTCTGTGATATACGACGCGCGTCTTGTCATGTTTAATTCGCATGGCGAACTGGGAATTGACTACGGTGCGCCTAATGATTATTATATTTAGAGTACATACATGTACTTCTCCTGTGCCGTCGCTTCCGCAGCACCTTAAAATGTGTTCATCTCTCTGTTTCTCCTCGGTATGCATTATACTTAGAGTACATATAGGCACATAAATCATACCTATATATCTTGAACTATCACTCGGTAATCGTTAGGCCATCATCAGCCCTAACTTCTATGTAAAGCGACGGCTTCCACCGTCAACTGAGACGACAAGCAGATACCTATTGCGAAAGTCGAATCGATCAGTCAAAAGAAATTTGTCCTTGGCAACGACTTCAATGTCTTGGGCACTCACTCCTAGGTTGGGATTCAGAACTGAAGAAGCAATCAAACCTCCCAGGGCGAAATAGGTAGCAAGGGTTCACGCACTTGTAACGACTGTGGCTTATATCGACTCATGCAGGTATGTGTAAACAAATCTCTTCATTCATGTCAGCTGCCATCTGCAGCCAATCCCCCACGTTATTTATCCCCAGAGCTTGTTCCTACGTGTAAGACTGGTAGATTACGGCTGATTCTTTTGGGCCGAATGATGTGTCAAGAGCATCATACCTGTGAGTTTGAAAAAAGAGTCTGAAGAGAAGGAACTTGCCAAGCGAGGGCTGTCCTGTCTCTTCGATGCGCCATTTGCCCCTTTTTCGTTGCTGTTAATACGAGGCGCTAATAATTCCCAAATCTCAACTAGCGCCACCATCAAGATTGTTAAGCCCCCACATTCCACACTACATGTATCAATGTGTTGCAAAACCCCATAGAGATCTGATCACCTGCTTAAAAGTACAGCCTTAACTTTGACCGGGATCACCGATTCAAAAAAACTCGATGATACCAAACTATCTTGATGGAACATTTTCTTATTTACTCGGGAATTAACGTTTCAGACCCGGTACCACGACCACAAGTACGTACTATAACTGTGTATAATGGAGGCATATACACTAAGGCTCAGTCTGCTACAAAGCTATGGAAATCTTGGGCATATTTGTTCCAAAAAACTGACCCTGGAAATGGGTCACCTCACTGCTGACCTGCGAGGGCTAAGTTGCACTCAGTTATGCCATAAGTTCTAGTGTAACCGTCAATAGGAAACGGCCTATCTCAGATTTGGCGTGACAGAAAGTTGACTGTACCACGTTTTATGCATGCACAAAACTTCCAACCTCTCAAATTTTCTTGGGAATGATCCAATTGATTTTTGGTGCTACATACATGGCCTCTGTTTGTTCGTCTGATGCATTGACGGTAAGCATTAACCCCTTTCACCTACCCGTTAATGTTTGCTCAATTCCAATCCATCAGTAATTGCAATAACCACCAAGAACGCCAGAACATTTTTAGGTCCTAAACAGCCTGAGTTGGACACGTACGGAAGATAGAATATGGTTAGGCAGTTGAAGATGACCTGTGTTATGCTAGGGCACGGCGAGATGAACTGCTCGCACCAACCCCGCCAGCCGGGCCACAGTTGTCATCAGGCATGCTAGTTACTATATCAGTATGCAGGCTACATACTAGAGTGTTTGCTCTGCTGCTATTTCACCAACAATTTATTTCAGATTCCGAGCACTCTTTCACCACATCGATCGGCCGCATCGCTCCCGCTCAATCAAGCTGTACTCCGATAATCGAGCCCGTTATCGGCCACTGTTTTTCGGAGGTACAAAGTACCTACGCAACTGAGGTATCGGCGGTTACTGATCGACCATGCACCCCGCCTCCTCTTTCATCGAAGATTATTACTGGTTGGAGATGGCGCTGCTGTGTTCAAAGTACTGCCTGTGGCTGTCTGTTTCTGGTGTTGGATATGGAACCAGGCAACTCGGTAAAGTCACCAATTTGAGTGTATATATCCCGGACCTTGATGTCTCAAAGCACGTGCACAATGACTGCTTCTTCCATAATGGGACGATATAAGTCCACCCGTGGCCGTATACCCGAAGAGGCATATGTATCAAACTGGTGCATTTGTCGGGTCTGGTCTACGGGTAATAATGCCGCTCTGGCGCCTGCAAGTATATTCGGTGGGCCCACGTAGGTACTCTACATGCTGCGGCGCGGCGTACGTTCACAACACAACGAGTGATCGTTTGTGATTTTGAGAGTTCAAACATTGGAAACAACAATCTTGCCTGATGGTACATAAAAAGCTTATGAGCGTGGTTTTTTTTCCATTCCGGATTTGCCGGACTAGATCAGATCCTGTAATGCTAGTATATAATGGCTGGGAGCACAAACCTGGTTATTTCCACAATACTAGATTAACTACCCGGAGACTCGGCATCTATTCTAGGATAATTCCCTCACCGAAGGGTATTCGGACCTCAAGCGTGATGTTTGTACTTTACACTCGAAAAATGGCTCTTATAACGTATTGCTTCAGGAGTTGATATTGTTAAAAAGCCAACTTTTTGGATACATTATACATTGGAGTAAGTCGGCCTTGTGTGCCTATTTTTTCACTGGTGCATGCGCAGATTCCTCAAAGAATTCTAGCCTAACAACCTTCAAGTTCAGAGTCTTTCCCATTTGGCACAATAGGTTCGGCTGGATCTATATCAATTCCAATACAATAGACTATTTCATCAAAGTTTATTCAATTAAGCATTTTATACGTTCAAAAGGGATCACGTACACGAAAGATTCCAAGTTCCTCTAGATATGATCGGCCGCGATGGTCCTGAATTCTTCGTATCTGCTAATATAAAATGAAGAAGTTTCGCGGATGGAGGATGCCGATTGGCCTAACGATACTGAACCTAGACATTAAACGGAATACAACGATAATAATCCATACCGGGACCTTCCAGTATGTATAATGATAGTGAATATCTAAACATACTACAACAGCTATAGTTTAGTTTCAAGCCCCTCCAAAGGAAAGAAATATCCCGTGTGCTTCCTTGGGTGGTCATCTGCACCGGCATCGGGATTTTCTTGAGTTAATACGGCGACCAATTCCTCTCAAAAAGGATTCCGGCCGGTTGGTAACAAACGGGACGGGAAATTTCTAATAAGCAAAATTACTGAATCTCTGGATCTTTGCTAGTCTAGTCCTCATCGTTCGCCAAATGATTTTAAAGCGGCTTCATGGTTTGTATAGATTCTATATAACCAACCACAATGCCTGGGACAGTCTAGCGGAGTTTCTGATGTGTGGAAGCTGCCTTCAACCGAGATATTTCCGGGACCTTCCTCATCCCGGAAAATACATGTTACCCTCCTCTAAGTTGATGCCCGACCCAGGTTTCTTTGGTGCCCGATTGACTCACCCTCCCAATCGCAAAGGTTTCAGGCCATATCTTTATTACCTTCGTCCCGTACCCGCTTGTTAGAAGAGTAATCCACAGATACACACAAAATGAACCCCTCCCCCATGACCAAAGCCTCTTACAAAACCCCCAACCCCTACGAAAGCCTCTTCGGCTACTCCCGCGCCGTCCGCAAAGGACCCTTCATCTTCGTCTCCGGCACAACCTCCATCATGCCCGACTCTGCCGGGGCGGTCCAGTACCCAGGCGATGCGTACCGGCAGACGGTTGTTGCGTTTCGGGAGTCGCTCAAGGCTGTTGAGGCGCTCGGCGGGACGAAGGAGGATGTGGTGAGGGTTCGCATGTTTGTCGCGAGTATGGACGAGTGCGATGAGGTGGGAAGGGGTATGAAGGAGGTGTTTGGTGCGGGCGAGTGGGCGGCGACAATGATTGCGGGTGCGGGATTTGTCAGGCAGGAGATTAGGGTGGAGGTGGAGGTGGATGCGGTGGTGGGGTAGTTAGGATAAGGCTGGGGGTTGGAATTAGGTGCGAGAAGGTTCAGTAAGCAGAAAGCAGTGCAGGTAGTGCTGTTAATTTAAAGTAGGTCTTTGGGGAACATTAATATTCGTGGAAAGCATCCGTGAGAATTTGGATCACCGAGGATCACTCAGCCCTCTAAGCACAACGGATCACTCAGTGTGCCGGATCATCAATACTCACCCAATACTCGTGCGCATCTCTCGTAGGTACATACGTTATTCGATGCTTCCCGGGGCAAGGTTTCCATTGCAATCAAATAATAAACAGGTGACAGGGTCTGCATGCGGCTCTGGTTGCGGGCCAATCATTGACGTCACTTTACAGGCATGTGGCTATATGTATCCAGTGTAGCTAATCCGGCCAAGCAATCAGGGAAAACCAAGCTTTTTACCCCGGACCTGTCACAATTCCTCAATGCCATGTACCGATGCCCGCCTACCTGGGCATTGGCAACCGAACCTCGAATCTCATGACGTTGACTGGATGGGGGGGATCGGTCTATCATGTATCTACAAGTAGCTATTGTCGGTGCCTAATTATACAAAAGGGAGTGGGGGCCTTGAAGGTCTCCTGTCCTGGGACCAGCAGAAAGTCTCTTGATCGATATAAGTTTCCTGCTGTGTTCTGGAGTCGTGCCCTCTTTGTTCAGTCCTACATACTCATATATAATCGGCCGTACCATCGACATGAACGACCCAGGCCTCGATGACCAGATTCAAGAGAACGCATGCGACGTAGCCCGGAAATATCACGAGAACCACACTCAAGGGCGGCGCCAGCAACAACAGCAGCAGCGTCACCGCAACAGTGGACACAAGCTCAACAAGTCTAATCGCGGTAGCTCCCGGGATAAAGAGGCCGACAGGGCGGAACAATTTGAAGAGGGGATGTTGGAGGACGGGGGGTTTGTACAACCACAATTGAGCATCATATGTGCTGCTTTTTTTTCTTTTTGGTTTTGCTGTGCGGGGCTGACAGTTGTTCTCTGTTCTGTACAGTCTAGATCTTTGCAATTGGTGGATCACGTCCACTGTTTTCCCACTGGTTGCGGGTGCGTTTGGCCCGTTGGCTAATTTGGCGTCCGTTTGTGCACTGGTGCAGGCCTGGAGGGTTTATGTTCCCCCCGGGGCGTCGGAGATACACGGTGACCGAGTAGCGGATCCGGCTTGGTTAGTACATGTAGTCGATGCCCGCCCCCGCCGGTACTATTTTTATCGCTCAATCGGGTCAGTTGGCTAATAATTGGTCCTCAAACTAGGCTCATCGGGATAAATGCGGTATCATTGGTTATGGCTGTGATTGCAAACATCTTTATTCTTATGACTTTTGCGCAGAGAATACGGTACCGGGTATCATTGCCTTTTACTATAACCCTCTGGTAAGCAGCTACAAGAGAAAAAAAACCTCTTAATATCCGTCCAAGTTAGTAGTCATTAGTTTGGTACTAAACCAATATCATCCAGGTATATCTCCTCAATACTCCTGATCAGTCTAGTAATAGCTGCACCCAAACTCCTCCAAGAAGACGCCCGTAAATCCTTCGCCTTCTCCCAATCCTACTACTACGGCATCATGGCCGCCGTACTGTACTTCATCATTGCGACCCTCCTCTTCACCAATTACTTCAACAGCACCGTAAAGAGGCGCTACCCCCCGTCATTCAGAGTGCTCACAATCCCGCAGCGCACTTTAATGCTACAGACTACCTCCCTGATGTTCTACGTCGGCCTCGGCGCGCTGGTGTTCTCAAAGATCGAGGGCTGGGAGTACGCCGACACAATATACTGGGCAGATTACACACTACTCACGGTCGGCCTGGGATCAGACTACCCGCTGCAACACACCGCCGCAAAGATCCTACTGATCCCGTATGCCGTGGGCGGCATTATTGTGCTGGGTCTCGTAGTTAGCAGCGTTAGGGGTATGGTGCTGGAGCGTGCAAAGATAAACATGAACCGCAGGGCGATTCAGAAGCAGCGACAGAAGTGGCTGAAGGAGCTCGAGGCGAACAAGAGGGATAATAATACCCGATCTGCAAACGAGCTGATCAAGGAAGAATTCGAGATTATGCGGAAGATTGAGAAAGCCGCAGAGTCGAAGGGGAAGTGGATGGCGCTGGTAACGTCGTCGATGGCGTTTTTGCTGGTATGGCTGGGTGGAGCCATGGTTTTTACATTCTCAGAGGTATGGGCCGGACCCTGTTATATATCATATTGATCCCCCCCCCCCCCCCCCAGCTTCTGGTAACCTGATATGGCTGACAATAAAAACATAAATCAGCGTACTCAACAATGGTCATACTTCGACTCGTTATACTTCTCCTACACCTCCCTCCTCACAATCGGCTACGGCGACTACTACCCGCAATCCAACTCCGGCAAGCCCTTCTTCGTCATCTGGTCCGTCATCGCCGTCCCCACAATGACCATCCTCATCTCCAACATGAGCGACACCGTCGTCCGCGCCGTCCGCGAAGGCACCCTCTGGATCGGGCAGAAAACCGTCCTCCCCGACGCCAAGCACCAGACCCTCTCCGAGAAGCGTGAGGAGACCGACAACGCCATCGAGCAGGTGCGCGACGCGATCCCGTGTTCGCCGAAACAGGTGTATAAGAGGGTCGCGGCGCAGATCCGGGAGATCTCCGGACACGTGGGGTGTGAGCCGCCAAAGAGATACACGTTTGATGAGTGGATCGAGTTCTTGGAGCTGCTGGAGCTCAAGTGGGAGAATGAGGGGTGGTGCTGGCTGGGGGATGAGGGACCGCTGATGAGTGGGTTGACGGAGGCGGAGTGGGTGCTGAGGGAGCTGTGTAGGAAGTTGGAAGAGGCGTTGTCTGCTTGATTCTGGGGAATGGTGTACGGGTGCATGGTTTTTTTTCTCTGTCTTTTTTTGAGGGTGTTGGGTTTGGAGTTTGTGTTTATTGGTAATTTTAGAGTTGGGTTTGGTTTTTGGTGTCTTACTTTTCCTTGGGAATTTAGCTACATTTGCATAGATATAGCGGTACTTCTTAAAGATCTCCATAGATACCGTCACTTACTGCTTCTTCTTCTTACCAGCCACACCCCAAGCCTTTTCGGTCTCTCTTCTCCCCCATGCAACACCCCGTAGATAACCCCCGGAAGGCCGGTGGTGGTCCCTACGCATTGTCTACTTCCAGAGGAACTTGACTGCAAGTATAATTAAGAGGTGGCGTGATGCGAGAGAAGGATGGGAATTGAATATGGATATGAGTCATGAGGATGAAACCATGGAATCACCTGCGAGTGATAACTCATGAAGTATTTTTTCCCCCCTTGTTTTTTTTGTTTAATTCATTAATTGTATGATGAAGTAGTTTATAAATATACCGAGTGCAACCCACACCAAGCCCCGCTTTGCGGGAAACGGGGCAGAAAAGTTAAAACCTGTTTCCAAAACTAGTAGGTCTTTGTATGATACTGTATCCTGTATTTAAGTGAAGGCCAGACAGACTTGCGTACATGTAGTATCTCTACATAACCACCGATTGCAAGCGTTCAGGTTCCTTCATTCCTCTCGATCCTGGGATGCAGATTCAAAAAGCAGAGCATCACGTGCATAGAAACCAAAAAAAAAAAAAAAAAAAAAAAAAAAAATTAACGTCGGAACTCTAGAGCAGATGAATATCTAGCTAACTGTCTAATTATAGAAAAAAAGGAACAAAAGAACAGAAGGTTATACTGGCAGCGACTTAGTTATTGCTAGAGAGCGCTACTACCCCCACCGTACCCCTGGTTTGAACCCAGGACCTGTACTGGGTAAACACAACCGCTCAGTGTCTAACCTGACAAGCAGTCCAACTACTACCACTACATAGACCACTCGCCCAGGCCATGGTGGATGCTGCGCTGGAAGTGGTACTTGAGCTTAGCGGTGCACTGTGCCAAGATGAAGCATAACTCCTAACCCTTCATCCATAATATTCGCCATACATCCCTACCGCTAGGCGCGCGAGCGACTTCCATTGTAATTAACATGTAAGCAGTAGACCTCTTCGTTTAGCCTGTAGTTCTAGAACTACCTGCTTGTGCTTGTGCAGGTGCTATACAATATCCTTCTGTATTTCTCTAGCTAGCGGTGCCTGAAGAAATGGCTGTCAAGTGAAAGTCAATATGTAGATACTAAGTCGAGTGATAATTGGCAGTATCCGCGGGCCCTAGGCTGTTGAATAGTAATCATAAGTCACTGCAATATTGCGGCTGTACTGTACTTGAAGGCCATTGGTCTAGATGTTTTATACTGCTAGCTTACACCCTGCATTGAGCCAGACACCCCGAAGTAACCACATGCGTTGGATCTCAGCCCATCACTCGTCTAGTTTGCTAATATATATAATGCATATACCCCCATCACAAGCCATCACTCGGCCCACAAATCCCCCCCTCTAGACACAACCTTCTACACACCAAGAACAGCAAGCAAAAAAAAACGAAGAAGAGGAGAGCAAAAAATACCATATAATCTACAAAAGTTAACTACCTACAACCCCCCCCCCTCCCCCTCTTTTCCTTTCCTCTCTACCCTTCAAACACCCCATGATTCAACTCGACGCCCAGCTCCTCCATCGCAACCCTCCTCATGCGCTCCTCGAGCCTCTCCTCGAAGCCCACGCCGCCCAGCAGCGCCTGCCGAACACGCCCATACCAGAACACGATGTCGAGTCCCAGCACCACAACCTTGAACACCAGGTGGCGCAGCCAGCCCTTAAAGAAGCCGTCGCCGCCCGTGGCAGCGGGGAAGCGGGTGAGTGAGCGCGAGGCCCAGAGGGCGATTATTTTGATGCGGTTGACGGGGGAGCCGAGGGCCCTATTGTTTGTTAGTAGTTTTATTTATGGGGTATAGAGGGGGAGGGGGAGGGGGACTGAACTGGTTATTCGCCTGCACGATCCTCATATTCCTCCCAATGAAGATCAGCTCCTTCGGCATCTTCTCCTGGTCCTCCAGGAACGCGCCCATCTTCTCGCGCATCTTGACATGCGCCGCAAACGCCGAGCCGCCACGCTCATGGGAGCCCTCCTCGCCGACAATGTCGGCGATGTCGTTGCTGCCGCCGGTATACGGGCGCAGCAGGGTAGCGCTCGCAAACAGGTCCGCATTGGCAATGCCCCACTGGCTCGCGACGCGCTGGATGGTGCCGTTATCGAACGTCATGAGCGCGCGCCAGAACTCGGCGTACTGGCGGCGGAACTCGGGCGTGGTGGAGATGTAGAGGCCGTGGTCGAGGAGGACGAGCTCCGGGCGGCCGGCGGGCGTGCGGCGGATGAGGATGTTGCCGGGGTGCGGGTCGCAGTGGAGGGAGCCGAACATGAACATTTGCGCGCAGAAGAGGTCGACCATGATCTGCATGATGTCGCGCTCGCGGAGCCCGAGGCCGTAGACGGTCTGGGGGGTGCCGGCGGGGGGCGGGCGGTACTTTTTGAGCGGCCCTTCGGAGAGGACTTGGTTGTAGGGGGTGGTGGGCGTGTGGCCGAGCCAGGCGGGGCTGCGGTAGGGGCCGGTGAGGAGCGGGCGGGCGGAGACGGGGACGCCGTCGATCCATTCGGTGACGAGGATGCGGCGTGTGCTGAGGTGCGGGTAGACGAGCGGGATGTGCACCTTGTTGCGCAGGCTGGGCTCGGAGAGGACAAAGTCGCGCATGAGAGTGGCGTTGTTGGCCTCGTTGATGAAGTCTGTTTCTTGGAAAAGGCGGGCAGAGATGTAAGGCGCAAAGTAGGAGAGCGGGAGGGCAAAGAGCTTCTCGGAGAAGAAGTAGGAGACTGATCTGGGGGGGGGGGGGGTGTCAGTGGATATATTGGAGAAGGGAAATTGGGGGGGGGGGGGGAGCTCTTGAGGGGAATGGGAGAGAACGGGGGCTGTCGGTGTGTAATATATCTATAGACAGAGACAGAGATATATTCAGACATATATGCAAATATATATGAAAAGAGGAACGAGAGCGGGCACTCGTACTCACTCAAACATCCACAGATCCAGCCCAACCTGTCTCTCGATCCACGGCTTCTGCACCTTGACGGCCACCCACTCGCCCGTCTTCAGCCTTGCCCTGTGGACCTGCGCAACACTCGCACTCCCAATCGCCTTCCTCTCCCACGTCCCAGGCATAAAGATGCGGTCCACCAGCTCGCCCGTGCCGTGCCTCACCTCGGGCAGATGCCCATACTCCTCCCTCAGCACCTTCTCCACCTCCTTCCACCCCGCCTGCGGCGTCTCGTCAAAGAACTGCGAAAACTTGGCCTGGAAGACGGGCGGCAGTACGGCGCTCTGCATGGCGATCGCCTGCCCCATCTTCTGGTATAGCCCGCCGTTTGTTAGGCACAGGTCTAGTAGGCGGTCCGCCGAGCGCTCGTGCAGGCGCGACAGCTGCCGCGACGACTTTGACGGCGCGAAGTTGATCTTGTAGTCCAGCGCGATGAGCGTGCATGTGCCGAGCGTGCGGAAGTTGCGCGTGAAGGTCGAGTAGTTGAGGAAGCGGTCCGCGAGGTAGAGCGTCGTCCCCAGCGCCGTCGTGTAGGCGAGGCGGCGGGCGTACTTGCGCAGCCGGGGAGAGGATTTCCGGGGAATGCGCGGCTTTCCGAGCGACTCTGGACTGGGCGGGACGAAGCCGGTGACTCGAGGGGTGCTGGCGGTGCTGCGGGCAGCGGTGAGGAGGCGGCGGGTGGGCGGTGGAGGGCGGCCGCGGAAGAGGAGCATGCTGGGCGGGTATGCTTCGGGGGATATCCTGTAGTGCTGTCTATGGGGGGGGGGGGGGTCCTCCTAATGTCGTGAGAATACCGGCTCCTCCTATCTGGTGGTGATTGGGCTGTTTGTGATATTGTCGATGTCGAGTGAAGTCGAAGTTGCAGGTCTCACTGCAATCGTCATCGCTTATCGATAAGGCATTTACCAAAACAGGTACAACTAATCATTGCCCAACCGCCATGCCTTCGCTTGCTCCCGCGCCTCACAGTTGATTCATCACACCGTTTGCGTGGTGATGATGATGGACTCGACGGCCTTTTGGGTAACCTTTGGTGGTCAATCTGCACCGCTGACACACCTCTTGGATTTTGTATTTACATAATTTGGTGAGCCACATGAAAGCAGCAAGTTCTGTCGAGCAGTGCACCCGGTACAGTAAATTAGAGAGACGAAGAGAGCCATCCCCCGCTACTGGCTGCTAATTGTCTGTGTTCACGTCTTAGTCTTCACTAGAAGTCCCAATATGAGCGTGGATAAATAGCAAAGTACTAGTAGTAGATCGAGCTCAGCTCAGCGATCAGCTATCGGCTTCCTTGTATGGGCTTGGCATTAAATATAGTTCTGAAGATTTCACAAGTGGTCGGTGTAGTTATTTCCTGGTGATCGATCTGATCTAGCACATAGGAGTCAAACGCAAGCCAGCTCCACCAGTTCCTGGCAAAGGGCGATCCACCACAACAGCTCGACAGATTGAAACGACATGGCCTGACTCTAGCCCTACCCACTTGCTTGTCCTCCACCTGCCCAGCCACACCCCACAAACCAAACCAGGAGAGGATTACAGCGCTGATCATAATCTTAGGGGTTGGATTTCAACCTGTGGATGTAGAGTACTCTGGATGCAATCTCCACCGTAGCGAGATCTGCGTTGTTTGCAGCAAGGGGCTCCTACCAAAGGGCCGGCCAGGTGTTGTGATCCACTCACTCACTTCTAATAATATCAATGATCGCTAAACAGGTCTTGGGTGGGGGCCTTGAGTGCTGGCTCGGCACTCGTCTCACAATTTCATGCATATAATATCATTTCCAATCCACGTAAATCTCCACAATTGCAATTACAACACTTCATATCATTAACCACTCCCCCCACACACAATCATAATCATAAACCCAACTATAGCATGTAGAGATACAAAGAAAATTAAAATCACCCGCAGAAGGAATCGCCAGGACATCCAACCGAAAGCCCATAGATCGATGGCCCCACGCCCGCAATCTCGGTGACGGCATTAATCACGCCCCCCAACCCTTCACCCGCAATCATCCCCGCCGCGATCGCATAGCACAGCAGATCAAAGCTGACGGCATTCTTCTTTGCCCAGAAGTAAGCCACCGTCGCGCCCGTCAGCATGGCCGTCGAGTACTGTGTCGCGGGCAGCACAAACGCCAGCCCCATCGCCATAAAGTTCGGCACGTACACCCTGTATCTCTCGCGGTGTCCGACCAGGTAGTTGTGCCGTAGAAGGACGACTATGATCGAAAGGACTGCAAGCAGGATCGAAAAGATACCCGATGACAGCGGAATCGGGATCTGGGGATCCGTCACTGCAACGGTGACGGCACGCCATGCAGACACACTCGGCGCCGAGAAGGAGCACCGCTCGGCATTGAGATCCAGAACGCAAGGGTAGGCCTTCATAAAGAGAATAAACATGCCAGGAGACATAAACATGGCGACGATACTCCCGATCGCCTGTGCATACCACTGAAGCTTCGGGGGTGTGCCCAGAAGGAAACCAACGCGAAAGTCAACCACAAGGTCAGTGGACTGCGAGGCAGCACCCGATGCGATAGCTCCGCCGATGAGGTTCATGCGCTGCGCGGTCTCTCTGGGGAAGCCGGCGCCGGATGTGGCACCGCCCATGATGAGTTGTGTTGCCTTTGCTGCCGTGGTGAGCGGTGTGGTGTCGGTAACACCGGTGCACTGGATTGCCAGGAACGCAAAGATAAACCCGAGGAGGACTGCCAGGATTGACATCCCGACATCGAGATGGTACTGAAGTCCAAGGATGATACAGGTTGCGATAATGATGAGTATAAGGCCTGGTCCCCACTGCCACAGCTGAACTTGGTCCTCCTCTGGTGCAGAGTCCTTGATGACATGTTCCGCCTTGATGTGGCTCTGTCTCTCCAAGAATGTGGAGGTCTTTCCCATCTTTTGAACGCCACTGTTCATGGCCATAGCAATACCCTTCCAGGCACTCTTGAGCGCAAACCAGATGAGCTTGTACTGAACACCGAGTTCGGCAAACGATGAGGCAATCATGACGAGAACACCAGGCCACAGAAGCCAGTATCTGGGTGATGGGTTGTGGATGGGGTCCTCGAGGTTGAAAGAGTAGAAGCTGACAAGGTCTTTCCATTTACCATACTCGGGGTCTGTGGGGCCATACCAGGCAACGCCGGACGCGAGACCGTTGTGAACAAGGCCGGGGCCAATGATACCTTAAACAGTTGGTTAGCGAAACATGCACATCAATCATTGATATCAGCTTTCACTCACCCCAAGCAAGTACAGACCCCGCGAAAAATGAGATTGCAGGATTCAACCCAACAAGCATGCCACTACCAATAAACGCAGGCGTGAATTCGTAAAGCCAGCCCCAATTCTCGACCGCAAGGGCTACACTGTTGTATCCAGACCATACATGGAACCAGCTGAAGAAGTGCCAATCCCACAGTATCCCAGGAATGTAAGCGGCAGCTACGCGGAAGCAGATACAGACGGCAAAAGTGATTGCGAGGGCGCGGGTTTTGGCCTTTGCATTGATTCCGCCCTGGCCGGTTATGGAGTGCATAGAAGCGATGGTCATGGCCGTTGCAGTCGCCGTAGGGAAGATGAGCTTGAGCTCGCGGGCGACGTAGATGATGAAGAACTTGCGTACTATTGGAATGTTAAGCATCCATAAATATAGTGAATACTAGTTTAGGAGGATAACCTACGTGGTGTAGCGAAGAACAGCCCATAATACGCCGACACAATAGTAAAAGTCAACAGTCTGGGAAAGTCCTTCACAGGGTCGTGTAGCAGATTCAACTGATACAGAGCCGGAATAGCAGAGATGAAGATTCCGCCCAGGCCTCCAGCAGCCGTGGCAGATGTTTGAACAATCGAGTTCTCTTTGGGTCCAAAGGAGCCCCCGAGAATGGGAAAGTTCTCCCCAAAAGTCTTGCTAAAAAAAGTCAAGATTGCGAATCCAAAAATAGCGCCGAAGAGGTTCGCTCCGAATGTCCATCCAGTTTTCAAACCTTTTTTACCATCAGTTTTCTTTTCTTTCGTTTTTCGTTTTCTATTTATAAGTATGAAGAGATGACGTACCGAGATACACATTCGAAGCATTGACTAAACCGCCTAAGATGCACCCAACCACAACCGCGCGCACAGTTAATATCCTATCACGGGGTTCGACTGGTGCGTTTGGGTCAACTGGGAATGGGACAAAAGGGTCGGTCTCGACTTCGTCCCCATGTTCGTCAGCTATACTTTCGGTATCATCTTTGATATCGACCTTTTCTTCGTAAGAGCTGGGGTCATGCTGAGAGGGCCGAGGGTACTCTTCGACCCCCCCAGTGATCTCGGGGCTGCTGCTAGTGGTCGCCATTGTTTTCTGACCGGGGACTCGATTTTTTCTGAATCGAGGGACGGGATATCGAAAGAAGGGGAGCGGAGGATGCGAGCCTCTTATATCTACAGAGCGGGTTTGTGCTCTTCCCCCCCGCGCAACCATCACCTAGGTACTACTTCCACTTTATCGTGATCAGGTGTGTGTGTTACGATATGGTAGCTGTATGTTATCAATACTACATTTGAATAGCCATTGGTTAACGCACTAGACCATTTCAAACTGCTATCTTCGCCTCCCCAAAATCTAATGTCCTTCCCCACACAGAGAGGAAAAGCTGAACCCACCGATATCACAAGCAACCCTTGCTAGTTGGCTGACAAGCAATGGCTATAGAAAGTGTTGAAACGTAGATAGCAGCACTTCCACCCCTTGCAGCCATCCTGATGCCACATTATCTCGTGTGCGTGCGTGTATAGATGCAGCAGGTACCAGGTAGCTTGAGCGGCTTCAGCACGAAAAACCGTCAGGAGCTCCCAAGTGTCCCACAGGCGAACCATCATAATCATCATGTTAATGGAAGTAATCACTGAACAAATGGAAGTAATCCTGTGGCTTCAAATCATTAATCCTCAAACCGGCCCACCAGAGAGAAAGAATGAGAGGGAGAGAATGCGTGCAATTAACAAAAAAGATCTTCTGTTTCAATACCACTCCGTCCCCACCATCGGACATGTTCCCCTTTTGGCATCCATCTGCCTTTAATTGGAAGCTCAAGTGGAGACGTAGTGAAGTCAGTAAGCAGTAAGTAGCCAATTACCCGATGCTGTCCTTTCCTAGACCCAGCACTGTCTCTCGCAACATGTGCCAGGAGGCCTGGTGTAAAGTAGGTACGTTGTGAATCCTATGGCTCCTGTTTATCACTCTCGTTTGAACTTCCCAGTAGGTCCTGGTGCAAGCACATAATAATACAACGATCCAATCAATCTCAGTTATGAGGTGGCCCCCTGCAGTGGGTAGATCATCGAAGTAATCCTCGAATCACGACCGAGTATCCGTTATTGCGGGGCTCCCGAATTGGAAGGTGGGCTGTTACTACTCGACCCCGACGATTGCCGCACGGGAAGGGCAGGTACGGATATTAGTGAGATTCGTTAATCTACACATACGTTATGATGGATCCACTGGGCGGCTGTACAACATTGTGGCTAAACCAAGCTTCTGACCGCATACAAGCGAGCAGTTTTCCTACTGTTCCGCGCACCCCCGCACTCGCACGCGCAATTCAATAGGTTCGAAATCTTATGCTCACTTCGACTGGATGGTTCCCGCTCTACCTTGTCCTTGTCCCTGCGTGTTCTTTTGGCATGCCGGTAGCTGGATGTATTTTTGGGAGATTTCATCATCACTGCCGTTCGGTCCCAGTCTCAGAGGAAAGGAAGCAACAATATCACCACCATGGAGACAACCCCAACGTATCCATCTAGGTAGAAATATAATTTTGCCATCACCAAAATATTTACGTCTATATTTTTTTATATACCACTGGATAATCAGCCAATCCTTCGGAAGAAACCAAAACACCTCCCACGCAACATGATATGTGCCCCACAGCCAAGCCATGTAGCTAAGTGGATAGGCATCACATACAACCTCTCACACGCGGTTATTAAAGCTTAACGATCTATACCCAGAATATACACCTGTCACACCTTCCGTCCATCGGGCCTACAGGGAAAACTTCCTTCGGTCGCCTCCGACATCGACTCTTACTTTTTCAACGGGCCCTCCCAGTCCCCGATGTGTTTGGAGATAAGCTTCGCGGCTTGCTCGGGTGTATGCTGTCTTCCTAGCGCCTCGACGAAATCTCCTTCAGGATCTAGATAATGATGGGCTCACTCAGATTCTCCCTCCAGAAGAGAGAGAAAAAGGGTCAACCCCGTTACGTCAGCTTTGCCTCTCTCTCAGGTATTGATTGAAAGGCAGAACAAGCGATCGGGTAGAGATAAGAGGAAGCTAGTAAAATATCCTTGGATATGTGATCACTAGTGCGATCCTCCTGCCTCGGCATCGCGGCCAGATTATGAAGCGCTCCATTTTGGTTCTCCATGTGATGAAAGTGGCGGGGGTTATTAAAATTGATAATGAGAAAAAAATCGCAATACGATCATAATAATTGATCATAGATTTGAGAGTTTCGCGAAGCTCGATGCTTCGGAATACCCATGAACATCTCGAAATAAAGATGTGGGGTGTCTGCATTGCATTCGCAAAACGGGTTGACGAAAGCTCAAGGGGCTGGAAACATACCCATAAGATAAAAGTAGATAGAGTGGTCTACAAGATAATCTTGGCCTGGTTTGATATCAGGTGGCGTGGAAAAATATACACGATATGATTTGCAGGTTTGCTTGATTTGGTCGTATGTCCCTGGTAGAGTTTTGATGCGGTTAGAACCGGCGAAAACAGTTTCCCTAGGACTCCCGCAATCAAGCGATAGACCTTAGGGACCAACTGACTGCATTGACGAGTAATAATTACCTGTCAGTCCAACGATATCAGGGTGGAATTCGGCCAGGTATTCCTTCATCTATCAAATCCACTCATCAGTAATCAATCAATGATGATAGCAGCTATTATCATTTGAAGGTGTAGTTCTAAATAAATTGTTCGCACTCACCACTGGGGGAGTATCTCGAGCAGGATCGCAAGTAATAAAAATTGGTGTCATAACGTTCCCTTTGCTCTTTTTAACCACTGCCATAAATATAGTTAGTAACAGCCTAACAAGATTAAGATAGTATGTTCCCCGGGGATGGAATATATGGAAGAATAAAACTTAAAATGAGAGAAAAAACTAAAAAAAAAAAAAAACTTGCACATCATTTCAAACTTTTGAATTTGAACTCAAGAGCTAGGGAAATAGAAGAAAACAAGGGCTATAAACTCCAAAATGATAATTAAGGCGATCCCCGGGATAATCAGGAGCAACTGTAATTGAAATTGCAAGTGTTATACCGGCAACCGGGCGCATCAGATGTTCAGGTAAGATTTTTTAATTTTCAAAAGAGGTTGATCAATATCATCAATTGGGCAGGTCGCTCGCAACAAACGCCAATAGGTAACAAATGAAGATTTCGGTGATAAATGGTTTATCCCAAGGGAGAACCTTGGTTCAATGGATAATAGACTCAAGAAATCCAACTTACAATCGATCATTTCTGCCATTTTATCCAATTCCTCGGGACATATATCTGGGCAACGTGTGAAGCCAAAGTAGACCTACGAGCCTCTATATTAGCCAGTCTTCCATAAGGAGTTCCACTCAACCCGACCAGGTTCAGCTAAATATTTGACTAGCAACGCACCAACATAAACTTTCCCCTCCAGTCCTCATCCTTCCTCTCTTTCCCTTCGTGGTCGACCAAATTTAATGGGCCTCCAACCTTTGGCTTCCCAACTCCTTTTGACATTTCTGCTATTCTCTTACGTTCCATTCTCTCCTTCTCTGTGCGGAAATAGAATGTCAATCCGACACCAGAAAGGAGAAAAAGAAGCCCGGCTTTCCATGAGAAAGGCTATGTAAAGCATTGATCAGTCAGCTGTGTGGCGGCAATGAGGTATTGAACAGAAATGGGAATAGGAAAGGGAGCTTACCCCACTGCGATAACGAGATTTAGCCTCCTCGACCGTTTTAAATCTTCTAACAGCAGAAGAGTGGAATCCCGCTGGTGTTGCTGGCTGGCGAGGTATGGCTCTTAATCTAGGAGGTGTGAGACATTGCAATGACATAGGTCCCCGGGAAGCGAAGATTTTTCTCCCGGAGCCTGCAAATGTAGACTGCAGAAGGCGGGCTGAGGATACGGTAGACATCTGGTTTGTATTCGCTGTTGGGAACGCTGAAACGGCGAGAACAAATATTATGGAGATTCTGACGTCGTTGATTGTGCTCAAATGTCACAGCTGTAAGTTGGTTAGCTGGGCCAAGCCGCACATAAATCTTGGCATCAGGTTGTGCCACCGAAATGCAGGGACTGATGCTCCATGGCCCGAGCTTTGATTCATAGCATCCAACGATCTCTCAAGCTCTACTACCGCGCAAACGAAAACGAGAACAAATTTTTATCTAAAGGATATAACCATGAACGCAGGTCGTGAGAAAAAAACATTCGAATCCTTCCATTCTCATTCAAAAGGATTTATTCTTGGGCCAGATGAACTGCAAAAACATGCTGTCCGTTGAATAGAATGACTAAATTCTGTTTGCATGCCTTCACCTATTACTATATGCTCATGATAATTGGAAGATCCCTTGGAGACATAAAATCACTAGGGCGAACTACTGCCAAATGATTTCAAGCAACTACATATGCAACGAACATGGTATCGGTACCATATAGCCCTGCAATTCGCCTTAATACCAGTATCCAGGGAAGCACACAACGGCCCTAGCTATCATGAACAACCGGGTGCTAAATAAAGCCAACAATCCCTTGAAAAACTTTCTCAATTCGTTTCACCGGATTTTTAATTCAAAGTACCCAGTGCCCTTAGCGATTTGGGCGTATACCAATTGGTCCGGTAAGTAACAGTCTTATGACGATTAACTAGATTTCGAAGAACTGTATGCCGAACTCTTGCCATAGCCGCGTCCCTCTACTGATTTACCAGGTCTATTATGCGTGCGCGGGGGGTTTGGGGGGGGCGAATCGCTTGAAGCTTAAAACCTCGGGAAGTTCGTGATACCGAGTGGTCTCACCTACTGTCATCGGGATACCTAGGGGCACTGGAAAGGCTACTGAATTTGGTACGTGTCTTCAGCACATAAATACCTAGCTCTCTTTTCTAGGGTGAACGTTTTCGGGAAAGTCTTGTGTGGTATTTGAGATGGTAATTCTAGCTTTTGCAATGCCTGCCCCGCTAAAGCTATAAAACATAGTTCGTACGAAAAACAACCCTAATACGAATCGCAAAGAAACCGACTTCTGTGCAATGGGAAGTACATAACAGCAAAACAGAGGATCCAAACCACTCGAGAGAAAAAGATATCATAAAAAACAGATTACAGACAGATGATAGTCCAAATAAAACCACCCAAGGATGACCATAAATTCATTCCCTCAACACCGGAGCATCTCTTAGTGCGCCATCACAGCCCAAACTATATCCTTCAGCTAGGTGCGAAGATCCCTCTTGCCATAGCGGGTAGCTTTCTTCTTTTCGGCGACCGTCGACAGGCGAAACAGTCGTACCCGCATCGCTGATGAGATACAACTTCGAATACCGTGCATTTGGGGCCATTCCTACACGCCGTGGATTTGTTGATATAGGAATCGCCACAGGTATATATGGAGAGTGTGAAATAACACATTATTTCTGATGTTTAGCGAGGAGGGATCGTGTCTGTTTGAATATGACTGGAATATGAGATTATTCGCTTTCCTTTCCCTGCATGGGCTTGAAGATCGATATCACGGGAGAGCGTGTGAGAGCGTGGATTGAACACGATGAGATTTTGACAGAGGCTCGGCCGTCTATCTTCAGGCTAAGGAGTTGAAGGAAGCCTCGAGGTTCTTATAACTTACAAACTACACTCTTATCAACACTAAAGAAAACCCCCCTCACCTCCGCTTTTCACGTGTACGTGTATCCAGATAATGCGTTTTTGCTTCTTTCCCGGAGATGATAAGGCTGATATGAGTACTCTAAGCTATTATGCATGATTAACGGGTACTTGCTTATATTGAGCATGAGATACATGATTTAGTTGATGTTTGCACACGTATCTTACGATCTAAACTGGAATTCCCCATGGAATAAAGCATCACTTCTTCCGAGGAAAGAAAATCAATAATCGGTAAATAAACAACTTAGTTTAGGGGGGAATTTATCGCTGATTGTGAGAAAAGCTTATTCTACTGAATGTACGTAGCAGCAGTCTAGGGCGTACAGCATTACTCGAGTGCGGATACCAGCGCATATTCACAGAGCATATACACACATAACATACACGTAGAACTAACGATGCAGCACACATCCTCATCTATCCTGGTAACATTCAGCTCATAATAGCAAAAATCGACATTCATCCTTCTACACTGGCTCCAGATCCACCCGTAAGAATTTTTAACCTGCATATTACGTGTAATATCGATCGAGATATAACATACGGTTTTGTCAAATTCTCCGGATTTGCATCAGAGAACGCTTTCGTTTGAAACTCTGTGGGCCTCACCGTTAGATGAGAAAATCTCCGAGCAAGGGGTACATATGATGAGAAGAGTCTAGTTAATTCAGGAGGGTCTAGATTCATCCATTAGTTACCGAGTGATTTTTCTTTCTTGCTCTTAACTCCCGAAATCTGACTGCAAGCACGGAATGAATGATATTTGCCCTTACAGATCACCGTTCAGTCCCAATTAATTGATCTACAGTACTCAAGATCTAAGCTAAGCTTTGTGTGCCTAGACATCAATCACTACATGTAAACACACACACGGACGCGCTTCATACATACATACATACATACCTGCACGAGCCACCCCCACCACACCTGCTAGGTATATGTTTCAGTTTGGAAAAAACCTGGGAAAATAAGCTTATTATCATTATTTGGTAGCGAACTTAGCACCTACTACCGAAAAGTAAGACAACAAACAAGATGTGTGGCTCGCAGGAGCTCAAGAGAGAGAAAAAAAATCAGAAAGGACATAATCAAAATTTATCTTGGTTTTGACCGAAGATCAAATCTGAAGAGGTATGTGCGAAATAGAAAACTGACAATTTACAGCTTACGAACGCCAGGCTCGTGAAAAAAAAAAAAAAGAATTTAAGGAAAGAAGAAAGAATGGAAAGAAAAAACCCTATCGGACACATTACCGCCCACAAAAACTACCTAAATCAACCCAAACAAAAACACCCGTGTACGCAATAAATTAAAAAGACATTGAGAAAACATAAGATACGGACATTAACACATTAGTTTACCAATGAAAAGGACGGAATCGTTTAGCGACTGGTGGACCTTTTGAATACATCTGATATCTTTCTTTTTAGCGTTCCAGCTTTCTCGATGGAACTAAGAGATGCCTTTCTCAATCGGCTCCCCCGTTTTGCCGAACTTGGCATAAAATCGGATGGTTCCTGTTTGATATGTTCGGCTTGCTGTTTTATAGACAATAACTGTAATTGATAATCTATCTCGACCATCGAGTAGGGCTGTCGTAAAAAGGAGTATAGGTCAATCTCCTCTTGATCGTTATCAAGTGAGGTCCTGTTGGAGCATGCCGAAGGAGGTGGTGTTGGGGGGGAACAATGCGAATGGCCATAAGAATTAAGTGGGGGGAACTGGTATAGCTGAGTTTCGACAGTCATATCTCTCGGGGAACATGGTGCTTGGTTATTACAGAATGCTTGGTGTGGGTAGCTAGGTGCTTCGCAAAATGAGCATGTAGGTGACCATGGCTCAAGAATTTTCTAAATTATTTAAGTAATGAGTATATTCAAAAGAAGGAAATAAAAGAACTAACCTTGGGCGTATCTTCCAGATTGGAGAACTTGGTGTCTTCCACGTTTTCCATACTCCACCATGTTTGGGCACTTCCCATTGCAGCACATACACCAAGCTCTTTGAGGCTAGTACTGAGTTCAAATACTGGGATCTCTCCATTTTCCTCGTTATATAACATAGGTAAGATAGAAGGTGATGCCACGAGAGGTGTTGGAGGGGGCGCGCGAGGAATCTGGTAGGCAACATTGCCAAACAACTGGTTGCACGAAGGGAAGTTATCTCTCAAGGGGCATATCCATTCTGATGATGGACCCGACAAAGAGCTGCATCTGCTGGATTCATAGTGGGAAAGATCGCTATTATCCTCCCTGTCAAGGATTGGTATCAGATCATCATCGTATATCGATGCAGAAAGGGCGTCCAGGTCATTCTCGAAATCTCCGGGAAAGTTTGAGTATTGTTGATATTCAGTAGCCATTTCAAAGATATAAGACGAAATTGGAGGAGAGAAAAGATTTAATGAAGATAGATGTGTGTGCGGGAGCTTTGCTTCTGGGAAGTGTGAGTTGAAGATGTTTTTGTCAAGAGAAAGGTGAGGGTTTAACTTTATAGCTTTTTGTAATGTCCACCTTTCTCACATCTCACATCCATCTTGTTTATCTCCCCGGAGTATGCAAGGATCTCCGATCCATTTGGCATGCAGCTCTCCCACCTATCGTGTGGGTGGGCCTCTTTGATGATATTGGCTTCCGCCACTATGGCCATGGTTCATCGCAAGTCTATGTATCCCGATACGCTCTTGCATATGCTGGATGTGTGGGGTACAGTTGTTCACCGTACTCTACTGCTAGTTCACGAACAGGGGTACATTAGTTATGGCAAGAAACAGTCAAGGTGCAAGATCTCTATCTAAGCTAGGTTATTTTGATTTCTATTGGTAGCAGTATTCGTCAAGTGCAAGTGACGGTGAACGACTATAGTTAATTCCCAGGAAGGAATGGGCATCAGGTACGTATACCGGATACATGCCGAAACGTAAACAGCATGTTGAAGTTCGGGTTAAACTGAGAATCGACGCAAGGAGATCCAAGAAGCGAAATGCTCGACTCTAGACGGCGACTGATCTATATTGAACCAGATCAGTAGTCTCCTGTCATTTTTGTCGATGCAAGACCCCCCGGAGTGTTTTCTTCGCAGACTCACTTTTGCGGGGTGCACTGAATTTTGAACAAGACGTCTTGTTTGCACCTGACGCGCTTATTCCAACTCCAGTTGTGGATGTCCGAAGCGGTTAGTACATACATACATGTACTCATAGATGACTCGTCAAATAAATATTTCGCTCACTTACACTCATGTCCTGAATAAACGAAATATCTTGGATCTCGGATTGCAAGCTCCTCATACGATCATGTCGGCTCGCAGCACTTGTTATAGAGGAGTGAGCCTTAGTGAGAATTGCTCTTAAAGTTAAGTCTTGCCTAGCGAAGCTATTTGTGAAAACGCTCAACTTACTGATATTGTTTATTTGCTTCCTATGTACCCGGACAGGCAGGAAGAACCTGAAAATGTCTTTTAATGGTATAATGGCCGGCTATGATTCGCGACTAGCGAAAAGCTACACCAAATAAAGCCCCTGCTTGCAGCTTGCATTTCAGGTTCTTATTGTAGGTACACGCAGGTATCTATCTAGAACTACTCGTAAATTCCTGACGTTTCCGAACGCGACTACTATTGCATACCATACAAAAAAGCGCCAAATACTTACCTTTTTGTATGCCATGCAATATTGGTCGTGTTCGGAAACGCTATGAAATTACGATTTAATTTTGGATAGTGCATATAACCATCAGTTGATTCTTCCATGTATGTACCTACTCTCAAATGTTCCAAGTCCTAGATCTACAATGCTGGAGTAATCCTTCCTGCATTTGCTTCACAAGATCTCACATAATTTCTCGATTGCTATATTTGAAGACAATCCTAGCATTCAGCCCGGGCCACCCGCTGTTGTTAATGCGCCAAACAGCGCCAAACAAGCAAATATAAGCCGCAAATTTTTGTGGATTGCGCAACCGCCACGAAGATAACGTCCAAGCGAATACTACACAGCGCCAGAAATAACCTTTATTACTTCATCAATATTGAATCTAGTATATCTTTATTTCCACGGCCTGGAATGAAGAGTGATCGATTGTTTGTTGAGAGAATTTAAAGATGGACTTCGAGCGCTGGCCGAGGAAACAGGACTACCAATGCGCATGCAAGGGATCGGTTGCAATGGGTTATACCAGGGATGGATTTGTTTTACTGTGTAGAGTATATGTATGTAACTGATGTTTTCGGTGCATAAATTGATCTCGTGGGGGTCTCGAACGCTCCGTGGTCCAGGCCAGCATAGGTGTGACCCCCACCCGCAAGGCCCTACATAATGTCACGTTAAGTTCTCTCTCAACATACAGATGGGCTCTATGGCTCAGCACCTGAAGTGAACAATAAATCATCCTCGATCCTACCTGACTCGAGAACATCGCCCGGGGTGTGGTAAATCACTCAAGCATTGGTCAGATGTGCCACCCCCCCGATCAAGAACGTACACGAGGCTTGAAAAGTCATTTTCGTACTAGATTCGCCGTCAATCGAGACAATCCGTTGAAATAATCATTTCAGTGTTGTCTCTCGTTTCCAGGAATGCAGTTTCTGTCTTGCGAGGGGCGTGAGATCAGAGATATTAGTATATCTGTCCCCACTCACTCATTCTTCTGTCTCAACTCCGGATCCCTAAGTCGGTCGAGGTTCGGAGTGGAGCAAGCCACTGCCAACTTCGAGTGACCGTTTGTGAACTCCGCAACCGAAGCTTCGAATGAAGAGTTGGAGCATCCTGAGACACCATATACCAAAGGCAAAATTTCGGGCCCTATACACCATATCGGCAGTTCGCACTTTTTGGACGCTAGTATTGCTACTTCTTCATGAAGTCTCGCTACCTGTCGGTTATGGCAAGACGGCATTCACGGAAGCTGTGAAATATACTCAAGGACTAAAAGGCCTAGATCTATTCGGCAGATAGTTAAAATGACATGATTGAATTCTTCTAATCCGTTGTATTGTACAACAGTAAATTATCACGTACCTTTGGTTTACTAAAACCACCTCCTTTTTATCTGTAGTAATAATTGAGACAAGGGTTAACCTAACCTGGCATAACGCCCTTTTCGTCCATGGAACTTATCCATTTTGGTAGATTTTGTATATGTACGGTATTGTATGTTGCAGGAATTGTAACGCCATGTCGAGTTGTAACTGGGTGTTGTTTCGACTACAGCTTGTAAGCGCCACTATCATCTTGTTTAGAACTTCTTCAATATGATGTGTGTTGGATGTAGAGTAAATCATAGTTGGAGACAGGTAGAGACCCTAAATTTCCGGGTTCGAGAATGGTGGAGCAGCGGGTGGCGTTAAAATATATATCCGGTAGTTAAACAGCTGAGAGACCACTAGTCAGTATGTGGTACTACTAGGAATCGAGTTTGTTACTTTTCAGTCAGTGTAGATTAGACTATTTTACCGAATACATATTCACCGGGCTCTGATGTAAAATAAAACGCAAGGTATGTGTTTACCGAGAATTTCTAACTGCGGATATGTTTCTAGGATCGTGACGAAACCTGACGGCCTTCAGTGTCAGTCTCAAGAAACATTTGTCTTTCGGGGAATTTATTCCTTCAGCTGGATATCGCAATGCTTCTAGACGCAATCTATACGTACATGGTCGACGGATTACTTGTACACGTACACGCGTAGAGTGATTACACGTAGTGCCATCAAATTTAAAGCTGGCAACGAGTGTAGTATACTGCTGCTCGCGCTCGTGATCATACATGTACATGTATAAGCTCTTTCAGCTCTTACCTGGCCTGTGGTATCTACAACATACATGGAGATGTATTGTACATTTCTTACAGGTAATTCATACATGTGGAGATATTTAGCCGTCCCTTAATCCGAGCTAAAATCAGCACTCATCTCGCCACGCTGGAGTACAGCATATCGATAGATGCAGGTACGCCGCGCCCATATTAGAACACGGCGACCAAGATACATCACAGACACTATATACACTCCCTATCTATGCATGTTTAAGCTATTCATATGCGTGAAACAGGGTGCATTATGACGTCCAGCACTCGTTGATACCCGGTACGGTACAGTTGCAAACGGAAAACACCGGACGAATTCCTGTTCCGGGCCGATTACATTCTGAACGACGGTTATTTGATATGATATGACACTGATCGTGTCAAACTTTTCCGGATGTTTAGCCTTCGAACTGTGCGCACGCCTTGGTAAACTTGGTCGATGAACCAAAGATAAACGGATCTAAGTACACAACCTAAGTGGGTGGGCACTAAAGTTCAAAGCCAGTGAGTATTTTGAAGAGCACTGTCAATCCAAGAAGACACCTTGCTAATCATTATCGGACATTAACTTGAAAACAGTCGGAGGACCATTCCATCGATCAACATAGTCCCCTCTCCACACATAATCGACCGTCCTTCCTTTTGATCAATTGAGTATCTTACTTCAGCTCTTCAAGCACCTTTGAAAATCCGAGTGAAGATGAATACGAGTAGGTGAGGTACGGACATTCTTCAATGTCGAAACATGTGTGATAATGATGGTATTTAAACAGGTTTCAACCTCCTCCAGGCCTGGACTTAATTTTCCTCTGCCCCATTAATTCCGTCAATTACGATAATACGATATCGGATTACGTTTGAGCAGTGTGAAATCTACACTTTCAAATCATTCGAAGCCTAGGGCAATTTTAAGCATGCAGCTTACTTGGGTTGCCGAGCCAATTATTTCACCCTCCGAAGCCAATCAAGGACGATCAGTCTGTTACAGATCCTAGGGCAACTACTGGGCTCAATCAGCTTTTAAAAGCTCTTATGATTGCATGTATTTACCCCAAAGAGAGGGGTCGGCCGTTCATGGTCATAGCGCTCCAGTTCTCATGATCTGGAATATATTTCTTTCATCATTGCCATATACCGCCAAAACTCGATAAATTGGCTATCTCCGGCCAGGGATTATCTCTTTAACGATTGGTTGAACGCTATTGATCACCCTCAGAAGTGTCCATTAGTAGTAATTTTGATCTTGCATGCATAGCCAATTTCTCGAGTTTTGGCGGTATATCCATATGTGCGGAAGGGAGCTTCGCATACATCCACAAAATAGTTCGCAATAGAAAGGGAGATTCTGCTCCAGAAAAGAAAAAGAAAAGAAGTGAGCGGCCGCAGCGGAATGCATCGAGCTTGACGAAAATAAAATCACTAAGTAAGGCAACTCTCATGCATATTGATATACTCAGCCTCCAGCCCTTCGGGCTCAAACATCCTAATAGCATGATTCATTGGTTCAATGGATGAAGCGTATGAAGAATAAGCAAATCGTCTACTGTGTGTAGAACTTTTTTATAAATTTTCACCAGCACTATATCAGTTGGATATTATAAATACAACAGCCAGGCAGTTTAACTATTTCATGGTGCTGGTTGGTAACTTGCCAGATCATATCTATGTAAATCACGATAGATTCAAATAAACACGCTCATATGTAGCCCTAGCAACATTATGTTCTTGATAAATCGACCTCGAAACATTATTAACGAGAGGCGGGTGAGGGCAAATCTGGTCAAAAACAAGACCAGAGTGATGTCTTAAGTGGATAATGGTTGCTGAACTTGGACCTCTAATATTACCGTACTAATACTTACCAGCTGTTGGTATTCACTTTTTCAAACTGTAGTGGTGGCTCGGACTGCCCTTTTACTTTCAACGGCCTAAGGACTTACATACATAGATTATTCGAATATCTATAACTATCCCAATATATTTACACGCATCATGCATATGATCATCGAATGAGAGATAGTTATTCTAACTATTCTACGGAGGAACTAGATAAAGTTGTTCAATAAAAAAAAATAACAGATTCAGCTGTACCTGACCTTACAGATTTGCGTTGTCCGGGAGTTCGCTATCGGTATATTTTCGTCTCCTAACTACACCTGTTGTCTCCGGCACGTCCCGAGCTCGCGGCACACCAGTGACACCACCATATTATAGGTGCATTTACACATTTACTCTTACCCCGGCTTGTTCATATCTGATTCGCATGCCGTTTAACGCCTTAGTAGAGTCCTCCTAGAGGCACATGAAGACTGTTTTGGCGTCTGCGGCCCGGGGCTGGCAGCGCGAATACGTGGAGATACAATTTGGGTCAATGGCTTGCAGTTGAAAAACGTAAACGCTTAGCCTTCGATCTCCGAATAACTCTGCAAGTACCCACCCGAATATAGTATAAATAATAAAGGATAGCCGTATGCAATAATTAAGTCCATTGTGCACAGAACCGAACAATTACCAGAGCGAAGACTGTTTATAACTATAGACGAAATGACTCCCTCGTATATCCTTCTAAGCCTGCTCTTTGTTGTGGGCGCGGTAGCACATATGACCATGTTCGACCCACCACCGCTCCGCTATAAAGACAACCCCTATAGAGTTCAAGCCCAAGACTACACATACTCTTCCCCGCTTGGAGCAGGAGATACAGACTTTCCTTGTAAAGGGCACCATGTGGATATGGGGACTCCTGATGGCCGTTCTGTGATGACCTATGCCGCTGGGGGAACTTACAATATAAGGTAAACTCAAACCACTAATTGAATAATACAATGCTCTATGTATCTCTGCTTACTGTTAAACAGATTAACAGGGAATTCAACACACGGAGGGGGGTCGTGCCAGATTGCATTAAGTCATGATAAGGGAGGTTCCTTCGGGGTCATTAAATCCTACATTGGCGACTGTGTCAGAGCAGATCCTTTGAGCCATCAGATATTCGGTTTCACCATACCTGATGATACTCCAATTGGTGATGCTCTTCTATCGTGGTATGAATATAGGCTCCACATAATTCCGGTATCATCTTTACTGATATTCTGCCTAGGAGCTGGTTCAACAATGTAGGCAACCGTGAGATGTACATGGATTGCGCAGTTGTTACAATAGAAAGAGGTCACAGCAAAAAGAGATCCCCTAAAGGGTCTCTACACCCACGTGCCACACTGCCATCCATATTTGTAGCCAATATTGGCAAGGGATGTGTTACTGTACCGAACAAAGACGTTGATTTCCCGTCTCCGGGAACGGACATCACATACGGGGCTGGTGTGGACCCAGCTCCTCCGGAGGGCGACTCATGTGGAGTAGTAGATATAGTGGTCGGAACCGACGATGGAGTCGCCACTTTAAACGGTACAGGAAACACCACCAGCACAGGCACCGGTACCGGCACTAATAACACCACTACTACTGACACCACTACTTCAACTACTTTGGGAACCGTCGACGCAGCTATTGACGGGAATGGAGCGACGGCAACTCCAGATGCTACGCATGATTGTGCATATTGGGAAGAACGAAACTATGTTTGTGCGTTGGGTATGCGCTTGAGTGCCAACCTTCCGTCAATGTGGTTGTTGTTAGGGGTTATGATTCTTTGGGCTTTTATCCCATAGTTGTAAAGTTTAGCACATATTTTTATTCATTTTTTTTCTTTCTCTTTTTAGTAAATTCTAGCACATCTTTTGATTCCTTTTTTTTTCCCCTTTTTATTTGGGTATGTTTATATATTGGCTGGGTGTTTGTAGGTTTTCCTAGTTTATCAAAATGCATTGTTTCATTGGGCGTTTCTCTTTCCTTCGTTCTTACGGGCCGTTTTTAGTTCACCGATAGAGGGTCCGAATCTAGATTAGCGTCGCTGGAAAGTGTGTAGGAAGTGTGCATTCATACCTATCAAATAAATTATTTCTCGGACTAGATGCAATATTATAAATAGTTTCTTTATATTGTGATAGCATCTGCCACGGTCCATCTGTCTGGGACAGATCTCTGTATGGCCTCTGGCTATAGTATGGTATCCTGATACGCTATCTGCTACAGGCTGAAAATGAAAACCATGGAGTCTGATGCTGGGCCAGCCAGATCAGGACATTTAGTTAAATACCGACTTTCGAAATCTAGCGTGTCGCAACGGCCAAGCGGGCACTGCAAATCAACGCACACGGAATTCAGAAACACGGGTGTTAATAATTTAACAAACCACGGAAACATCAGTGCAGTACCCGAATGATAATTCATGATCCTAGCGGTTCTTTAGCCAGCAATTAATGACTGAATGTTAGCAACGAGATGCGCCAAAAAAGAGTTGGGAACTACTCTATTATGTTGACCAGCCGGAGGTTCGCCCAGCTGGTAGCCAACAGAGTGGACGTATATACATGTACTTGTTCAACAGCCGAACTGTTCACCATTAGAACTCTGGAAGAAAAATATGTAGCTTTATGAATTATCGTCGTATGTATATACGATTACGAGATATATTGCAGAATTCTCCTACTCCATTCGACCGCCAAGAACGCCCGATTGACGACTTGTGATTCCGGAGACTTTACTTACCTAAGCATCGGCGTCCCTTAATATAAGCTAAGCCATGTTAGTGTATGATAGCCTTGATAGAAAACTCAGTCTCCGGAGTCCGGAGTCCGGACATGGCAAGCCACAAGCAAAGGACTTCTCAATCTTCTCATCAGCTTTAAAGCTTATCTTTTCGTCTATTCCTACGAATCACACGGCCTATTAGCGCGGAAACAGCATCGTTATCAATAAAAAGCTAACGACTATTGATTTGGGCATACTCGATAGAGTAAATTCTACCGTCGCTTCCAGTTAGTCTGTGAATTTTGTGAGCTACAAACTCTTGAATACAGAGAAGATACCCGGAATTTCCGGTTTATCCCCGGCCCTTTCCCCCTTCCTTATAGATAAGTGGTTGTGACAAATTACATATAGCTAAGCTTTGTGGAAAGGCCCGGATCAACAAGTACAGTGGTCATGCTAAAATCCACGACGAGTCTGAGGGTCAAAAACCGTGACCTCTCGGGAGAAGGCAGGAGGACCTCCGCCGAGTCAGGGTTATTAGGTTTGCCTTAATTTGTGGCCCAGTAGAGTATGTAGATAGCAACCAGTCCAAGATCCTGAAAAACAGGATACTGTTAAATCGCGACTAACTATTACTGGTAAAGCTAGATGCTTGGCCGGTACCTATGTTATCAACCTTCGACCAGGAATCTCCGTAGGACTTTCGTAGCGATTTCTCTACTGTAGTACCCAGATTTATGTTGCATGCTTGCCATCTAACTGACAGTTAAAGACATAGGTAGGCCGTGGTTCTTGTCTTCCCGGCCGAGATTGCATCCTGGTCTCAGGGCATTGGCGAGTGATAAGTTGTGAATACACACCATGTTGTTAGTGCTAGCTTGGTACATCCATTGATTACATAACCTCAAACGGCTACTATGACTTTAATAGTCGATATGATATTGGGATAGGTAGATGGTAACTTATCTATTTCCTTACCAAGCAGGCCTATTGATATGCTGATTATGACAAACTGTACCGGTCAGTGTGGTTGAGACGCCAGCAGTCAGAAGAGACGTTTTGTTCGAAAAATTTCGGCCTTTGTAAGGTATTAATTTCATGACCTTGTACCAATGATATGATGGAACTTTCAGAAACGTTGCTGGCCTGTATCAAAGTACTAGCTAGGGAATTGTAAGAACCTCGAAAAAACCCTCTCAAATCATCACTCGTCAGGAGAAGAATTCTAGAAAGCGAGCCCATAATAACTTTACCAAATAAGTGTCAGATAGGATAAGAATTTGTACCAATATATTCTTGCTGGATTAGCCCATGTACCAATATAAAAAGTCTCAGACTGATTCGGGTTGTCTCAACCTCACTAACCGGTACAGTAGTTCTTTTAAGTGGTAGTACCAGTAGCAACAACATCCCGCATAATTATCGTGTGCGTACGCCACTTCCATCTTGTTGAATATCGATACATCCCTTGAACCAAAGTATAAGCTTTGGGATTCTCGGCTCCAGCTCCATGTGCGATACACTTCAAGGCTTATATATATCAGCTAACCTGAAGAACCTGACCGACTCGTTGGGTTGCGATAGGATGGTTATCTCACCATCGCTGAAAGTAACCTAAACCCGTTACTTCACATTATGGGACTATTATCTAAGTCTCCTCTCGTAATTGTATGTATTGAAATTTGAGTTTGAGGAGTCACACTTCAAGATATAGTTTCTGCGAGGATAAGGTTCCGCCACCACTTTCGGTTTTTAATACCTCTTTGATACTAAAAATTAGCGGGGGTTATTCTCGCAGCTATGTAGCTAGTTAGTCACTGATAAACAACACATATTATAAGAATAAAGGTTCCGAGTTAATGTAAACCTGGAAGTCCATTGGGCAATACCCTGGTATGACATTCATATGCATAAGGGTACAGCTGAGATTGATTTGAACTCAAAGATTCCCTTGGGTATTTGTAATTAGTCTCCGATTGAGAATCAGTTTTTATGGGGACACTCAGAAATAGGTTGCTTTGCGAAGCTAGGTCTTTCAAACCTGCATAACTTTCTAATTGGGGGAGAGAGTACTCAACTTTAAGAGGTTTCAAAGACTAAATGCTTCTGCAGTATATCCCGGCTCTTGGCTGAATGCGGAAATATATAATGCAAGAACCCGAATGGAATGGTATAATAGCGGATAGTTGGACGATAACACGCATGATCGCGCATACCCGTACTCTTATTATATTATTTGTGTGGTCAACGCAATTATAAAAGAAGCGTGTTCGTATACATAATCATCTACTCGTCCGTACATAGTAGTCAGTAGCCTCGTTTTAACATATCAGCAACACAGATATTCAAAAAGACTTGGAGTTCTATCTCAAGAATGGACAACTTACTAGAAGAGACGATTAATCTCCCCTTATCACAATTCTCGACCCTCTCAATAGCTCTTGCAGCCGCCTCCCCCTTTGTCTTCTTTAGTCGTCCCGAACTGGACTCATGGTTTCGTAGATTCTTCTGCTCGGTGTTTGTATCTCCGGTTGCTCTTTTCTTTATTTTTTACTCCTATTGCAAACGATCCTTTACAATCTCATTATTACTTATGAGCACTATATATTGGTCTTTCCTTCTTGGATTGGCAGCCAGCATCTTGATCTATAGGATTTGGCTTCACCCTTTACGAAATATGCCAGGCCCTTTTTGGGCAAAAACGAGTAATTAGTGGGTCGTTTATCAGCAATGGAGGACAGGGCTTAGATTCCATCAATACTCCCAGGAGTTGCACAGGCTTTATGGAGACGTTCTCAGAATCGGTGTGTTAAAATCTCAGTCTATCCTTGCTTGTTGCCATCCTGGTGTTGAATCGATATTAGACCTAATAGCGCTCGAGTACTTATTATAAGTCGTTTTGCGCGGTATAGGCCCCAATGACCTCTCCATTATTGATCCGGATATAATTCCTATGTTGGGAAAGGCAAATAAAGGAATCTGGTACTCGGGTAACGCCAAAATCAGTCTTCACGCAGTACGAGACAAGAAAACCCACGCAATACGCAGAAAGATCTGGGACAGGGCTTTTACTGTTAAAGGTAAAGATATAAACCCTCGCCATTGCACTCTCCAAGGTGCTCAACCAATATTTCAACCCAAGCGTTGCAAAACTACGTTCCCCGAATCGCAAAATACTCTGATCAGCTCATTTCAAACATCTCCAAGAGCGAAGGAACACCTATGAATATTAGCAATCTCTTCATGTTCCTTACCTTTGACGTTATGGGAGACTTGGCATTTGGAAAACCATTTGGCATGCTTGAGACAGAGGGACTAAATGGATCAGACATGTTCATAAAAACAATGCATGGCTTTTCCAGAGTTGTAGGTAGTGTTAGTAATGTTCCTTGGTTCATGCTCCTGCTGCAATGGCTACCTGGGTTATCCGGCGAATTCGGCAATTTCGAGAGGTGGTGTGGACATATGGTTGAGAAAAGAAAGCAGGTAAGTGCTGTTGATTGCCCGACCTCATAGGTACATGTAGCACCAATCTAACGGCTTAGCGCAGTTCACACCAGAAAAGCCGGACATCTTTCATTTCTTGTTAGAAGCGGAGCCTCAGAATGTTGGAGAACATCATATCGATCTAATCGCCGAGGCACAACTGGCCTCTGTAGCTGGAAGGTAGAATCCAACTCTACTAGATATAGACCTATATAGCTATGAATATCAGCACTAAGCGTGACAACAATAGCGATACCACGGCCAACACATTTATCAACATCTTTACCCAGCTTGCCAACAACCCACATACTCTTCAAAAGCTACAACATGAGATTGATGCCATATACAATGCTCAATATGGCACCGACAAAGGCTCGGACGACAAAGGTTCAGACGTCCCAGAGGTAATATTAAATGGAAACTCGGCTGCAACAAGATATTTGGATGCAGTGATCAACGAAGGCCTTCGTCTGAACCCTGCAGTCCCCAGTGGCGCGCAAAGGGTCACAACTGAAGGAGGAGTTACGATAAATGGTACCTATATTCCAGGCGGAGTAAACTGTCGATATCCAACATATACGGCTCAATCAGGCATGTCATACCTATCCGACTAGGAGCGTACCATTTGGCAGAACTAACAGCCCTCCTCCCCCAAAATCCAGATGAGAGGTCATTTCCAGAGCCTCACAAATTTATGCCGGAGAGGTGGTACGAGTTAGATAAGGAAATCATTATGAAGCAAAAGACAGCCTTTATTCCGTTTTCGGTTGGTAAGTAGGGAGCATATAAGAACCTTCATAGCATATGACTAATATTATGACCATCTACAACAGGCGCATTTGGTTGTGTTGGTAAATCCCTTGCTCTTTTGGAGCTAAGAATGGTAACCGCGAAAATCCTACACAAGTTCAACGTTAGTTCTGCAGAAGGAAACAGCGTTGAAAAGGTATTAAAACTATTCCAAATGAACTTTTACAGCTCCATATACAAAGTACGTAGCTGATAGATTATAATAGCTTTATAATAATTCTTTTGATGGATTCACATTATTGATAGGTGACATCGAGGTGGTATTCACCCCTAGGTGAACCACAACATTATATCTATAATCTTGGTATATACGTATATATATTCCAGGGTAGCTATAGGAAACTTCACTATTAAGTCCTGAGGATTCTTGGTAGCAATTGCCTCATAAAAATTTTCATATGCTTCTTCACTCCCGAATATATAATAACAACCCACAAGTTGAAGTTTCTAACGGCCAATTAATCAAACAACAGTGTATGTACCTTATTAACCGGCTAGTGATCAACTATCACATGCATAGTACCGGGGGTTGAGGGTAAGTACTGAGAACCCCTTTTTGGGGAATTTTAAAAAGTGAGGGTTTGTAAAGGAATCTGATTGGGCTGATATAATTAAAATGACACTTGGCAGCCAAGCAGGTATTTGGACAGTCTACCCCGCAGCTTTTGCAACGCAACCTCCTCAACCTCTTTTCTACTCATGTTCTTTTCGAACTTCACCAAAACTTCTTTGATAACTTCGAATCAGTACTCAGGTGAACCTGTAAGCAAGGGCTATTCAGTGGTTATTTTTTTGTATTTTTAGGAAAATATTTGAATTTTTAAGTGAAGATAGATAAAACGTCTCGGTATTTTTTTCCACCATATAAATTTTGAGGCCAAGGCCAAAATTCATTGGCTGCTTTTGGTTACCATGGGCGGTTCCAATACAAAATCAACCAATCCTTCAAGGCGTCTCGGTATTTAACGTGCACACCCGGTACATATAGTGATTGTACCACTTCATTTATGGGTGTAGTAAATACCTTAATATGATCATAATCGTGCAAGAAATTCACAGCTACAGGTTATGTCGACATCAGTGATCTGATCATAATGTACATGTACCCTGCACAATCATGAACATCAGCCAGTTAGATTAACTACATTGATTTGAAATATTTGCACTTCCAGTAAAATTATTTACTCATAATATGTGGCATTTGGAGGATTATCTTGCCTAGCTATGGCTCGACTCTCTATTGGTTGTCCGGGTCTAGCTTGAGAGTGGCAATACTTTAAGTGGAAGAGCCTCAGACAGATACGCTAATTATAAACCGTTTCTTTTTTCGACTCATAATTAGATGTTGCTCTCTACCAATTGGAATTCAGCCTACCTCGCACGAGGTGACATGTAGCTTTATTGATTGATATCATGATGGTACGATATTATATGTATATGTGAACAAACTTTGTTCAACGCTATGGCGCTTATTCGGAACCCTACTCGGGCCTGATTAGATTATTACTGAATTAGGTGCCGCTGCTTCGTGGGACTCTTGGGTGGCAAAGAAATTGCACATCCCTGTAAGAAATCTGCAAGGCGGCCCGATCGAGTGTATATTATTAGCCTTGGTGTGATTTGAGTCGAGTAGACTGAAGTGATCGACAAGCTTAGCAGGAGCCTTTCTTAAGTTTATTGCTAATGACACACAACTCTTACCAATTACGCATGGATATGATATCTACAAAATGAACCTCCAGACGAGTTTGCATGTGATTCTCAGTACTGTTTCGAGTAATTTTGCCGAGCAACTTGCGAGTGAGACCTTGTGCACATCTATACTTCATTTTCGGCCGAACATATTCGATATACCTATATAGTTATCCCTACCCTGTCCCTAAGTTTTCACAAGTTTAGGTCCGTAGATCGGCCCAAGTAGGAAATCAGTACTCCTGAATTAGAGGTTGACACAGGTCACAACACTTGACAGCGAGGCCTAGAGTGGTGATAGAGATCCATAAAGTGGCGATAGCAACCCAATTGTAGTAGAACATAAAAAGTACCATCACACAGTCTAGGATAAGTGATAGCCTACCTTTAATTTGCGAAGACACTTATTATAGAAGTGTCCTGGGTGTCGATTGGCCATCTCGTTTCCACCATTGATCCTACTCCAGTATGTCGGGTTTATCAGCCAACATTGACTCTTGAGTCTTGATAGCTATGCTTAAGCAGCCGGGCCGGATCCCAATCGTGTTACTCAAACCCAATACGGAAGTCGTGATATATGTAAACATCGCAGAGAAGTGTTCATGATGAGGTTTTTTATATCACGACTTCCGTATTGGGTTTGCAATTTGAGTAACACGATTGGGATCCGGCCTGATGGCTTAAGGGCTAGACGTGTCAATGGTGGCTGACAGCCACTCCGGACCTCCTGGAGCTTGGCATTGTTGGATTTTCGCTAGTCACCGAGAGTCAAAAATGGAGCCAGATGCTGTTTGCCACTGATCAGTTTTTGATGAGAGCGAAAATGCAACCCCATAGAACATGGATTTATTCCTCCATCAATACCATCGCTAAATTTCTGGGAGTTTTATAAAAGGTCAATTTGCACCTGAATTTTATAACAAAGCAATCTGTATAAAAAAAGACCCCCATTTGGTCATTCAGCAGTAGTTAGAAGCTTAGACCCTCAGCCCCACATGATGAGCTGGACCTATTCTTTCTTGGCAACTTAGTGCCAAACCCGTCAAAAAAGACTCTGGACCTCCCAGCGCAAAGTGTCCAAACACGACCGATATTGCATACCATACAAAAAGGAGGGCTTGACGCTTTTTTATATGGAATGCAATAGCAGTCGTGTTCGGAAACGTCATGAAATTAGTAGTACACCCTCGACGGCAGTCACGGCCATACTTCCTGACGTTTGTAAAATTGCGGACTGGGTGCGTATCTGTATGGTATGCAATAGTGGTTCCTTTTACAAACATCAGAAAAATATGAGTATACATGCTCTATGGTTAAATAATCACATGCAACCGTGCTCCCATCGACTCGCCTTGGTTTTATCGAAACTACAGCTTGCGGTAAGATTATTGTAGAAGTATAGGAGGAGTTCTATTGGCTTGCCCAGCCATAGAAACCCTGTTTTTAGACCCCTGTTTCTACAATAATTCTACCTCTCGCTGTAGAATAGATCAGCTCAGTACCAATCAGGTTCTCAGAAATGTTTATGTAAACCAAGCAGCCTACATCCCTTTGCCATCTCCAAAGTCGATATTTCAAACCCTGGTTAAATTTACCGCCTTATGGCCCTGTCTCGGTATGTACGTCGAGCGGGTTCCTCGCTAATTGGTCAATAACCGGGTCATCCTGCTTAAGCCTTCCTACACCCCCCCAACCCCCAGCCCTAAGAACCCTTTGCTAATGATCCTGCGTAGGATCACGCGGCCCTGGTAAAACCTGCATATTGCGAGACCTCCTAATCAGTGATGGCAAAGTCACTAAGCCACATATTCTTATTACTAAGCCACACATAACCATTGAGGAAAAGTGACTTCGCCACCGAGGTCCCTTCATCTCTTGCTGCCCTACAACTTGCCGAAGAGACCGAAGAGACCGGCGTGTTGATAAACGGTTTTGACGGCAGGTACGGTATGTGGTGAATCTCATAGGATTACACCACCGGTGAAACAGATGAAGGGATAGTAAGCCGACTCCATCAACCTAATCTGTGGGATTGACCAAACACATCAAAGTTATGGAGTATCACAGTCAGGGTCGACTGCATCGTCAGGGTCCTTATCCCTACGTAGAGTGACCTATCATAAGGACAAATCCACTCGCGATCACCGACAGCACGGCTGAAGCCAGGTGACGTCATTTTAAGCACGCTCCAACATAAAACTGGAAAGAGCGACGGGGCAAGGCTGTCCCTGTCCATCCTGGGCTATCCCACCAGCCACAGAAGCAGGTTGCGCGATCAAGAACTTTTCGACCTGATGCCAGGATCGGAGAAAGTTCTACGGTAACTTGGAACGGCCCAGATATTTCTTGGACAAAAGGGCCTGTCAAGACCTTGACCCGGCCGCCGAGAAGGGAAAGGGAGAAAAGCCCCACTGACTCCTCCCCTCCTAGATATGTTATTGAGACTGGAACCGCTGGATGGTTTAAAGCTGGCCATCCGACGAAATTCCCCTCCTGCTGCTCTGGAAACTGTTTTTCGTCATTATGAGGCTTTCTCTTAGACCTTATACCAAGTTTTTCAATATCTTGCAATACACACTTTACACTTTCTAGCACAGCGAAGGAGTGTCGCCTTCCCTCTCTCGTCCCGGATTGTACAACTTTTCCCGAATTCGTAATTCCTAGCCATCCTATCCCATCTTTCAACGGACCCTCCCACACACCTCAATTCCCATCCGATCTGAGATCTCACTCCTCATCCTTGTACCCATCCGAAACCATAGAGCTTAGAGTACTTACATACCTACCCATTCTACATCCCGTACAGTTCGACCAATGGTGGATCCCCGTACTGGTACATCCGCTCGTGGTGCAGCTCGCAAGAGCTCTTCAGCCTCGTCCTCAGCAGCGGAACTCGCACAGTCTCCGCAACAACAGCAAGGGAAGGTCCCTATTCCACGCTTGCGACCAAGTGCAACCAGAGACGATGGTAGCGGCGGTTCAACGGCTGGTAGCGGTGGGGATAGGCACAGAGTTCCACACGCATGTGAGCCTTGCAGACAGAGAAAAACAAAGGTTCGTGCCGAGAAACCTTATTTTATCCCGCCCCCACAACGTACGATCTCTCTTTTCTTCTGAAATAAAAATACAGTATCATGCTAATTGCTTGCCTGCGACATTCGTGCGCATTGAGTTGAGTAGTGTAGTGGTGAAAGGTGTGGGAAATTTTCTAGTGCCTACCTATTTCATAACGGGTTTCGAGTCTCATTGTTCGGATGTTTTCAACCTCAAGAGATATTGGGAGTATGAGGGAGTCGAGAGAGCTGGAATTTAGGCTACGGAATATCTCGGGCGCGGTCAAACGAGCTCTCCACGGTTGAAAACAGTCGAAGGATGGGGCTTTGAACCAGAATTTTTTTGATAATTCTCCCCTAGTGGTATAATACTAATTGACCTAATTTTTGAAATAGACCCGTATGCAAACATTGCCAGGACTTCAAACTCAGCTGTTACTATGCTGACGGAAAGCGCGATAAAGCTAAAAAGTACTGCTTGATCTGAACTACTAGGCTATACAGCTAACCTTGAACCTAGTGAGATGATCTCGTTGAAATCGAAGGTGGAACTGTACGAGTCAGTGCTTGAGCAATTGAAGTGTCACGTTGACAGCGCTGGCCAATTGGCTATCCAAAAGGCTTTGCAAGGGGTCAGTCAAGTCGAGTTTTCTGGGCGTGCCCTATTGCCTGCACAGAACTTACAACCTCTGCCCTTACAGCCACGTGATATTGGCCTAGAATACCATTCAGCCCATCAAAAGCACCGGGACGGCGAATCTCTTGTCACGGCCGGGGTCGGCTCAACTGGCTCTGTAGACCATATTCGAGAAGAGCCCAATCGGAGCGACAGCGCATACCCGACGGGGTACATGGGGAAAAATAGTGAAGTTGCCTGGATCCAAAGAGTAGCTCAACAACTTGCTCGTGAAGCTTCGGCAGAACCGCCACGTATGGCTCCCATGCCGGGAACTGGTTCTCAGAAATCACATTCAGAGACATCGACTAAAAATTACAACGTAGAATCCAGTGCTCTTGCCACTAGGAATGACGATGAATACCAATTCGAAACGCCTACCTATCACCTAGACGATTTGTCTGTTTCGATAGCTGGGGGACAAATCAATCCGTTCTATCTTCCTCCTAAAGAAACTGCTGATGAGCTTTTGAATGCATTTTTCTCCACAGTTTATCCCACGTTCCCTATCGTACTAAAAAAGCTTTTTATGGCGCAATACGACGCTTTTTTTCAGTCTTTCTTCCCCCCGGCGAGCTCAAAGCGATGGTTGGCAATGCTTAATTTAATGTTTGCGATTGGCTCATTGTATGGGCGTCTTACCAATGCTGATTGGAAGGAGGAATCTGAGATCGAGCACCTTAAATATTTCTCTAGGGGTAGAGTTTTGAGCCTTGATGAAGGAAGCATCCTTGAGGTACCTGATTTACAGCAGGTTCAAGTTGTGGGATTAGCTGGCATTTATCTTATTGCTAGTAACCAGACTAATCGGTATTCTACCTCCTCGTCTTTTTTTGGATTACCGAGCATGCCATGTCTCCCGTGTGGTTCTTGATGTGTCTTAGAGACATATCTTAGAAACCTTTAAATAAAAATATACCTTAACTACGTGCTGCCCCCTCCAGTTCGCTAACCCATCGCTAATCATTTTATCCTAATTGCCAGTGCATGGAACGTTGTCGGGCTTGCTATTCGCTACTCGCAGACTCTCGGTCTTAATCTTCGCAACGACGTTCCTGAACTTGATGAGGCAGAGAAGGAGATGCGCGTGCGAATGTGGTACTCGCTATATTCCCTAGAGTATCTACTTTGTATTATGACCGGTCGACCGTCTTGTATTCATGAGCGGGATTGCAGTGTACCAATGCCTCGCCCTGTTGATGAAGAACAATATCCCATGGAGGATGGGTTTGGTATAGCCTTGAGAAAGTACTCCGAAACCGCCAGTCCTAACTCGCAACCACCGTCCGCAAAACCTTCTGCCGTTTCCAGCCCTTTCATTTTTCGCAATTCGCCTCCCACACCTCAGCCCCCAGGACCCTCTGTCCCCGCCTCTAACATCTCTTCTGCGCCATCTCCTTCTTCAACAACGTCAAAACAGGCCACAGCAGGTTCTTCACGTACTTCTATCAGTTTTCTTAGCTCTGGCACATATCCCTCAACCTATTTTGTTGAGCATACAAAACTCAACCAAATAACTGCTGAAGTATTGTCGAACCTTTACAGCCCTGCCACCAGATCTCGAAGCTGGAGTGACATTCAGGGAACCATCTCCGCGATGGAGTTGAAGGTTATGAAATGGCGTGCTGACCTCCCAAACTTGTTGGATTTCGGCAAAAGACAACGAGATCAACTTTACTACAGACAGGTATTGTGTTTTTTGCGTGCCAGAGATATCATTCAAGCTTCACTGACGCTGGTAACAGAGAATGAATCTTGCGTTCCAGTACCATTACATTCGAATTATCATCAATCGCCCATGCCTATGCAGATTGAACTATTATCGTATACCAAATGAATCCAATCGTTCACGTGGGTTTAATCGGTCTGCAGCAGCAACGTGTATCGAGGCTGCTCGTGAGACGGTGGCGCTTTTGCCGGACGAGCCAAATCCCGTTGGCCTAATAAGCAGCTCGCCTTGGTGGTGTCTGCTCCATTATCTTGTCTCTGCAGGTACAATTTTGATGGTGGAAATGGCTATGCGGGTTGAACACAACCCGCAGCAAGCTGACGGCTTGTTAAAAGATGCCAAAAAATTATTGAGGTGGTTGAGGGCCATGGCAGAAGACAGCTTGGCTGCCGAAAGGTCTTGGAAAGTCCTCACAAAGCTGCTGGTAATATCTGCTTCCAAGATTGGCGGTGACGTCTCGGACGTACCAACAGATTTCCCGGAGAACCGGGACGTCCCTGGTGGAATAAAGGCTGGAAACATCAACAACAATACGAACAGCGGCAACGGTGGCAACGGTGGCAATTCCAGCTCGGATTACTCCCAGCAACAGGACCAGCCATTGGCAACACACAATGGAAACCAGGCCGAGGAGACTAGACCAGGAACCAGTGCCGAGGAGTTCACCGACCTTTTCCGCGGTATCCTAGGCGAACCCTTCCCGTTCTCCAACATCCCCATCCACACGCACTATGATGATGTGACGGCAATGCAGGACGTGCCCCACTTTACTGATTCGGCGGCCGACAATCAGCAGAGCTTCCCGCCGAACCAGGATCATTCTGCAAATCAGGATCTCCTCGCAAATCACCTCCAGCCTCTCCCGGGCCCCTCGGGCATGATGTTTACCAACTCCACTCAAATGGATGGTATAAACGTGAGAAATCAGCCCGACCCTACCGAGATATTACAGGAGAGGCGCCAACGCAGGAGAGAGTCACAGGGAGTCAGAAACATATCGCTTCCGCCCTGTTACGCGAACCACTGGGCCCCCGTGCCATCTGGTGATGTGGGGTACCCAATGGCGCCGGCATTCCGTGAACCTAATCAGCAAACGAGAGATGGGGCAGCGGAATTTGAGCAACGGGGGAATTGAAAACCGAATTGAAATCGAATTGAGGCTGAAAAAAATATTTTGGAGTTTGGCTATTTTTTCATATCTCTGTCTTTGTGTTTTGTTTTTTTGTTTTAGACTTCACTCTCACATTACGTAGGGCGCGGGGAGGATAGGCGGCGATAACAGACGTGTGCCTCGCGCGTGGAGGGTTGGGAGGGGGGGATCTTTAGGGATATCAAGATGTTTGAAATTGGAGGAGGAGGAGAAGGAGAAGGCGGTGGTGGTTGTGGGGTGGTGGTGGAGGTTGAGGCGGGGAGGAGAAGAGTGACAAGTGATGACCAGCGCAAGTAGTGTGTAGCAAAAGTATACACCAAAGTACATAGCGACGTCATGATCAGTTTTTCCCCGACCAAAAAAAAAATCTCTTTAATTTTAATAACCCCCCCCCCCCCCCCCCCCTTTCCTGCTCCTCCTTCCTCCCTTTTTTTTTTCTAGTCCCTATTAGCAACAACCGCCAATCAGGGCGAGTATTTAGGCAAACGGCGTACTTCTTCTTCATCGCCTTAGGTAGTATTTAGTAGTCCGGATTCCAGTAGTACTTGTAGTTTACTCTGCTGCAATGTTATATCATGATCATGCAGTACTTAACGTTAACGGTCTTTGCCCGTGATATACTTGTCAGAAGTTGATACTATCATTGTTGACGTGGGCGGTCGATTTGTGCATGTAGTAATTAGTGGTGGTAAGGGTTCGATGGTATTCAGCGGACGGTCACAGTACGTTGGAATTCCCTAGGCTCGTCCCCAACCCCCCTGCTTCCACGAGAGCAGCTTGCTGCTAAGTAGGGGATTGGTACGAGACTAGCAAGTCCCCTATCTGGTCATTTGTCTTCTTCCCTCATAGTCCAACTTCGACGTCTTGTGTGACTGTTCTCTAAACTCTACCTACATGTATATTGAAGAGTGAGCCTTCTCGCCCTCTTCCTTGTTTCTAATCATCAGTTCATACAATACACTCTATGTTCTCGCTTATCTCTATTTCTATTGCTCCAAATTTAAAGATCATCCCGAAAACAATAACCCCAACATACAGACTGCCCCGTCACACACAAGACGTTGAGATTGCCGTCTTTGGCGGTTTTGTCTTGAACTCAAAGAGGCAGTTTTGACGTCTTGTGTGACCGGCTATCTATCGACTATCGATGGAAATTACTTGGGATGCCTTGCCACAGTCTGAATTAGCACGCCGCCAGAAGATTGGTGCAGGTTATATATAGTCTAAACGGCTGTCATAAACATAAGCGCTCGCCTACCCCCATCAGATACCGACCGCAGCAGAATTTACACCCCGCATACGCAGCAGAGGGTTAGGTTTATCCATCCTGCAGCGAGGGAGGGTGTGGTGGAGTTTCGTGATCGTCATGGATATATGTATGTAGGGGCGGGCCGCTGGCAGGGAGGCGAGTGGTGCCGGCAAGGGTACATTCGTGGAACCGGGGCCCGGCCGGTGGTGCCCTAGGGAGCTGTCGGTAGTAGACCTTTACTCAAGCCAAACAAGTCATTAATGTCCAAAGTACACAGAATCGTTTCGCAACTGGTGAGAAAATGTGTGCTGAGGGCTTAGTATTGACTTTGTTAACCCGGTACTGATTGATACCCTGGTAATATGTACACTCAGAGAGGGAGAGCTGTGTCGATGTTGTACAATACATAAAACTTAAGTTCAGGGCCCACAGCGTTGAGGAAAGCCATGCCAGCGAGCAGAACATCAAGTTACACGCCTATGACATACATGCTAACCACCACAACAACAACTACTACAACTACAACTCACTCAATCTTCCCGCTCACCTCCCTATTCCCATCGCCGGTCGTCAAAAAAGTATGTGCTCTACTTTATTGCACGGTGTAGTCTATTTTTATGTTTTTCACGATCTTCAATACGCGACCCCAAACCCATCAAGGAAGGTATTGACCATCACCAGAGCGTGAATCCTGGCTGCCAGTCAGCGCGCTGTGATCTCCCATCACCAACCACATATCCCGGTTTTTTCCCTGTCAAAAACCGATCCTTCGGGAGACCCCGCCAAGTGATGACCTCAGTCGAGCAGAGCAAGTAAGCTATTCCTGTCTGTCCGAGCGTCTATCTGCCTGCTCGGTGTTGTGCGAGAAAGAACAGAATCAAGATCTGGCCCCGGGGGGGGTTTTGGGGGGGGGGGGGGGGGGGGGTGGATGTGGATGGTGATGTGGATGGTGATGTGGATGGTGAGGTGGGGAGGTGGGGAGGGGAAGCAGTGACGTCATATGACAGTTGACCTGCAGCGGTCACGGGGGTGATGATGTGACCGCGAGGAAGGGCCTGGGGGAGAAGATGCAAGTGAGTGAGGCTGCGGGGTTCGGGCAGTTTAGTAGGGTTTAGTAAGTTTACTAGGCCGCGTCTTTTTGGGTCCTTGGTGGTTGGTGCATGTGGGCCATGGAGGATCACTCGAAAATAATAACTATTCTACAACGCCACACTGGACACTGCCACACGAGCAACTCACGTGCCCCCCGAGTAGAGTTCCTAAGACTCTGGTGTTTCTCAAAAACCCCTGAGTTATGTTCCGCGGTGACTTCCAGAGCACAGTATGATTACCCCCCAGCCGAATTGGCTCTAATCCATAGCATGGCGCATGCCGTTGCCACGGCCGTAGAGCGGAGCAGAGTAGATTAACTCAAAGTGAGCAGATCTCAGGCACATACACACTGGCAGAGTAACTACCTAATCCATGGCGCAAGGTAGAGCAGGTACACGCTCTTTTTCCAAAGAGGAAGAAACTCGGCGCAATAGATATATAACCCCCTATCCACGGCCTCGAACATTCCCACGGTTGGCAGCTCCACGCCCAACGACTCCGGCAAGACCACAAACCCTCCCGCCCGACCCGATCAGACAATCATCGGGTCTCACTCGATCGTATCCACAACTAGATCTATCTTATCGGATGTCACTGCAGTCTGAACCACGCCCGTTCGCCGCGGCTTAGTCGCCAAGCGAGCGCGGGACACGCCGAGTAGTCTAGGTAGAGTGGTCGGGAAGCTAGACATACGCTTAGAGTAGAGCGTTCTCGACTTTATTTCAATGACCCCGAGCGCTGGGGACGGTTTGTGAACGCGTGTGTGGGCATCTCACTCTGATAAGAAGAACAGGAGGAGGAGAGTGAGGGAGAGCGAGGGAAAGGGAATTCGGAGATTGGTGAATTCGGCATGGTGGGTAACATAACTTTGGGTTCTTGTCGGAGTGATCGGGTGGTATAGCTATGATATGTAGGGTTTTGTTTTGGTTTTGCTTTTTGTTTGAGCGTCTAAAACCTGAGTTTTGTTCTATTTCGGAGCCCTCTCTTTTTCTTTGCTTTCGCTCCTCCTCCAACCAGGTTTTCACATACAACTGTCACTCTGTCTAGCCACACTGAGATTGCAAGAAGTGAAAGTTTAAAAGTGCGCCTCGTGTATGCCGCTGAGTTAACACTTTAAAGTAGAGTACCTAAAGCACTTATATACCCTGGGGTAAAGTAATAACTTTATGTACGGAGCCTAGCTCGCGTAGAATTGAATTAGGGGGGGGAGTTTTAACCCCTCCACGTGAAAAGGGACCGGGGAGCGAGGGGAGGGGAGGTCCAATTCAGCCGTACCTACATCTTAAATACCACTTTGGAGGAAAAGAACCATGCTGACACAAAACACTGGACAAACACTTTCCCTTCCTAGTTGGAACTTGGAACCCAACATGGAAGGCCATGTCTCAGGGTCACTTTTTCTTCACGCCCACCACGACCACGCAAGAAAACAGAAACCGAGCATTTAAATGCCACGACAGCTGACAACACCATAACTCGGCCAGAAGAGTAGAACCGTGTGGGTCTCTCCAGAGGCATGAGGGATTGTGGGGAGTGTACTCTAGATAGAGTACACCGGATTAGCTCTCTTTTCCCGTTCTGCCTATTGCGTCGGAAATTGGGGTACTTCATGCATGTTGTATGTGGTGGGCCTCCTCCTCCTCCAGATGGTGGAATGGGGGGGGGGGGGGGGGGTCGCTTAAACATGGTGCAACATCAGGGCGGTGTGTGGAAAGTGCTTTACACCATCGGGTAAGAAAAGAGAGTACAGTAGAGTTTTGGAGAGGGGGAGGGAGTGGGATTGTGGGTTATGATTGTAGAAGACTCGAAGGTTTGGGCGGATTGGTGAAGGTGCTGGGCGGCTAACACGATGGAAACATGGATGGGGAATTGGGATTTGACATTTCGATCGTCTCTTGGGGAATTTCGAGGGATAGAGTTGGTCGCTTTAGGACAGCTCAGTGTTTAGGGAGACACATACACTAACACAGACAGCAATGAATAGATCATAGAATATTTCTTCTTCTTCTTCTTCTTCGTCTTAAACCTCATCAATTGCAAGAGGGCGCACAGAAACACAGACACATCATTATCTTCCCTATCTGCTAGGTATCTCCATGTAAAGTTATCCAGCGTGTACTCTAGGAAGGAGGAACCAAAATACCAGCCTATCCCATCATCACATACCGCCGTCGTCAGACATCATTTGCAAACATACTTTGCGTAGGTACATGTACTTATCCAGACAGAGAGGATAAGCTCTCTCCTTCGTCTGCATATTACCATCTTCAACTAAGACAAGCTTCTGGAAAGCCCCCCACCTAGAGACGCAGCCGCCGCCTTCCTTCCCTTTTGATACTTCGCTGCCGTTGCAAATATATACACACTCACTTCAAGTGACATCTGCGCGTCCTCGTCCCATCACGACACCTTCGAGGCACGGCAACTCGCCACTCCTCTCCTCCTTCACTCACTCACACACTCTCTATTTTCACGTTCATTGACTCGAATCAATCGCTTGAGCAGCCGGCCTATTGATTGAACCTCCTCTGTCTGTGGTTCACTCAACCTCCAAAGGCTGCCGACCGCAGCCAGAAAAGAGACGTTGTCACATTCAGCTTCCACTCATTTGGTGCCATTGCATTGCATTTCAGGTCGACAGCAGCAGACCTTGTCAAGTTCAACCACACTCTTTGGTCCTACAGAAACGCCCATCACTCTTTTTTTACTTAATTTTTCTTTGCTCAGCCACATTTGGCCTGATCCTGTTTCTCAGTCTGTGCCTATCTGTGTGTTTAGAGGTGCCTGCTCTACTCTAGTCCACTATCCCCCCCCCCAAAGGGCCCTCCCACACCTCTCCACAGACCACAAACACCCACGCTTCCCCTTCCCTCCTTCGAAGACTTATTTTGTCTTTTCACGCTCTCTCCTTCACTCGTTTCCCCTTAATCCCTTCCAGAGCCCCGTCTTCCCACTCCCGGAGACTCGGTTCTTTTCTCTCCAACCGTCAATATGCGAATGCGACCCGCAACCCCGCTCAGCATCATCCTGCTGGCCGCATTTGCTCTCTTGCTGCTGAGTGTTCTGAGTACTCCGATAATTCCTGGAATCCACCTCGCCGCCTATAACGACGTTACGTTCGGCGTCTTCGGCTTTTGTACGTCGGGTCAATGTAGTGGCTATGCAATTGGTTACAACACAGGTATGTCTTTACCATCGGTCGTGGGGATTATGGAGAATGGGGCAGGGGTGGAGGTCTCGCGAGAGGGTAGATGGGGCTGGTTCGGTGTTATTGTGACCGCTGCTAGTCTTGCATTATGTGGACGCGATGTTAATTGGTCCCATGCGATCATTGCCGTGTCTTGCAGCTCGCCCTCCTCCCCTCGTCCTGTCCATGCATCCATCAGTCATCAGGAAAATTGCTAACCTAAAACCTCACAGCATCTGGTGAACTTTCGAATGCCGACTTTTCCCTCCAGTCCAATGCCCGCAATTCACTGACACACTTGCTGATTGTGCACCCCATTGCGGCACTATTTACTCTAATATTATTAATTCTCTCGGTGCTTTCGCACCTCAATGGTCCCGCGCATTCTCCGCGATACTTGCTTGCTATTTTGATACTTTCGCTACCAACATTTGTACTCTCACTTCTTGCCTTCCTAGTTGATATCTTAATTTTCCTACCGCACGTTCAATGGGGTGGTTGGGTCGTGCTTGGGGCGACTGTTCTCAATGCCATAGCAGGAATTATAACCTGCGGTATGCGCCGAACGCTTGTGCAAAAGGTCGCCCGTCGCAAGAGAATCGCAGAGGCTCCGCCTACGAATGGTACGGAATTTTATGCAAACCAGCCGCAGGTCGCGGCAGTTCCCCCGATTCCAGAGAGCAACATTGGCGATAAAATGCCGGAATTCGCTACTTTCGAAGTTGATAAGCCTGTGCACGGGGAGCCGGAGGGAGAGCGTATCCCATTGAATCCTAGATCGCGAGCCATGTCACCGTCAGCGCCCGAAGAAAGAGTGATGGGTGGCGCGAGTTCGTTTAACCAGCCTTCGTTACGTCGTGCGCCCAGCGATAGGAGTGAGGGGTATGGGCCGCCGCCGAGAGGTGCGGGGCCACTCTCGAGGCCCAATCCACCGGGACAAGTAAGGGGACAATACCCGAATCAACCAATGCAATCGGCGAATAATGGTAATCCGGGACCGTACGGCGCTCCCCCACCTAGAGGATATGGTAGCCCGGCACCTGGATATAATGGAGATGGCTATAATGGTGGACCTCCTCAAGGCGGATATAGAGGACCTCCCCCTCAGAATGGACCAGGAATGTTCAACCCAGGTACAGGGCTAGGGCCTCCTCCGAGAAGAGGTCCCGGGCCGAACCAATTTGGACCCCGTGGGCCGCCGCCGCAGAACGGCGGGCCATATGGAGGTGGTGGACAGTACGGAATGGGGCTGGGAATGGGACCGGGACCAGGAATGGGACCAGGAATGGGACATCATAATGGGATGGGACCGCAAGGAGGAATGGGGCCAAACGGCATGATGATGGGTGGTGGCCAGGGACAGAGGAGACCGATGCAACAGCAACCCCCGCCACAACATCAACAAAGAGAAAGCCGCGAATATGATTTCCCTGCGGAGCAGCCACACGTAGACGAAAGACGGGAGTTTGAGCAGACGCTTCCTGCAGCAGCAGGAGGCACGGCAGTGGGAGTTGCAGCAGCAGCACCAGCGACCAGCGAGGAATATCGTGATGATGATAGGCGCGTGCAACCTGCCGAGTTGGCCGCAGATATGCAGCGGGAGCCCACTCCGCCCAGGCTGGCTGTTGTAAATGATACTAAACAGCCGTACGACAATGAGTAACACCCCCTTTAACATTTTAACTTGCTATTTCCCTTCCCCTTTATTAACAACTCATAGATATGTACCCCCACGTGCAGTATGGAATGGACAGAGCTCTGGTACTCCGCCGCCTCAATCTCGCACGCCGCCCCCAGCTGAACTTCCTACCCCCGCCGACGCATCTCCTGCCCGCCGTGGAAATAATGCCGCCCCTCGTCCGTCTGAAAGTTACTACGAGGATGTGGCACCAGTATTCGATGCTACCCACGTCGCACTTTCGCAGCCCCCGCACCCGCATGCGCCTATGCCCGGCGGTATGCCTGGACCTATACCGTACAGAATACAGATACCGCAACAGCAGCAACAGCAGCAGCAACAACAGCAACAGATGCCGTTACGTGCGTTAGAGGACCTTCAGGATGGCCAGAGAAGTCCCGCAATGAGTACAACCAGCAATTTCACAAGTATCAGTCAGAGGCCTCCAAATCCTAACTGGGTGCCAGGACCAGGTCAGCAGCCGCCAATGCCAGGAGGAATGAACCAAGGGCGACGAGGACCGACGTCTAGTCAATTACTTGGAGGAAATCCCGACTTTGAACTGCCAACTGGTCGAGGCGGAAGGTTCCGAGGTGGGGCAGGTATGGGGAGATGATTTTGAGGGCTAATTTTAGTACATATCGCGGAGAGAAGGGGCCAGTTGATATCTTTTTTGTGTGGGTTCTTTATGTTTTTATCTACTCCCTGAGAGATATCCAGGTTGAGAGGATTGATGAGTATTGATGTTGTCGGAATTAAGCAGACAGGAGGATGGTCTGGTACCGCGCATGTTGTTTTCTTTCTTTTCTGTCTACTCTAGGTTCTTGCTGTTCTTTTGGTAGGGCGTATTTTCATGGTCTGTGTACACCATTTTTTTTTTTTTTACTTGTGTTGGTTAGGGTATAAGACTTCGTCCACCAACGACGTCAACTTTCCCCTTCTTTAGTTCTGAATCTGGTAATGGCAGATTCAGCTATTCACTTCTTTTTCTTCTGTTTTTATCCTTCTTCTTTGTGCAACATTTCATTTTTTTTCTTGTTCTTTCGATTCTCGGTATATGATTACTATATCATCTCTTCAACGACCAAAATAATAGCTTTGGGGGTTTATGTTGTTCTGATTTTTCTTTTCTTTTCCTTTCTTCATGGGGGCAGGCTATTATTCTATTTGACTACGCGATTATTGATGGGGAGGTCTGTGATGTGGATGTATGGGAACTTAAGGGATGAATGTCAGAAACCACAAGGGAACTTGGGGTTCACATGCACACCATAGTTTGGATATATGTAGCTATTGACTTTTTTCTATTATACTACATACATGTATTAATGTTATCCCCCCTTTTTTTGTGAATGATGTCTTCTTTTTATTTACTTTCAGTGCGGTGGGTATTTTTTTTCGATTGTCTTTATGCCTTTATTTCCCTCCCCTCCCCCAACGTTCATGATCATGATATCGTTTTTTAATGCTGCATTTTGCTCTTTCTTAAGCCTTTTTTTCTTTACTTTCTTTATTTCAGTTATGGGCGTTCAGTTCAGCACGCGTATGGCCATGGGTCCAGTTGCAGTTCAATCCAATCCAATCCAATTGCATACTTCTTATATGTCTACTTGATTGAATTCCGCTGGTTCCGAGATTCGAGGGGGAATATCGATATCGATATATATTATCCAAAATGAGATTACAGAGCATAACCTGGTAATTGCAATTCTAAACTGGGGGGTTTCATCTTAATAATGCATATAGCTACATGATATCAAGGGGATCTTAATACGTAATTGTGGTTGGTAAACGGGAGTTAATTAAAATTAAGATACGGTTATATGTAAATATCATGAGAAGTATGTAACCACCCCTACGTGCATGTATGTGTCTGCACTTGAAATTGACTCGTGCCGAAAGCTAAACTATTACTCTGATGTTTGGCAAAAGGAATGGACAATACGAATACGGTAAGGTAAGTTATGTATCCATGAAAAAATGAGTCCCTTCGACCAGAGTCGAACTGGTGACCAACCGGTAAGCAAGCTATTACAGCCGGGTGTGATACCAACTACACCACAAAGGGATTGTGTATTATGTCAAAATTTGATTAAATTATATTTTTATCTAACCTAGGAGGTTGGTGGTGTGAGGATTTACAGTTACAGGAAGGTAAGTATCGGGGATGACCTGCGCTTTTGCTTAATCAAGAGGTAGTAACCTGATATTGATATTAATTCTGTCTTTAACTAACATTCATAAGTGTGAAAAGTCCTTCGCTATTAATTATAACCACTCAGAGCTTGTTTCTTCAAGACGGTTAGAACATGTCTCTTCAAATTCCCCGAACAAGATACCTTCGATCCAGACTTGTTACTATTCAATTTTTCCATAATAAGCCCCCAGTTCGCACTTTCGATCGCCATATCAAACACCATCTCGGCCTCCTTCCTCGTCATAAACGAGATGGCACCCTTCTTGACACCTACAGCTGGAGAAGACTTTTCTGGCGAAGTAATCTTACTAGGAGGGGCACGCTTGCTTTTCGTGCTAGGGGTTGTTGGTTCCTGGATACACAGTTGTGGTAAGTAACGAGAGGTTGTAAGAATTGCTAGGCCAAGTTGGCCTTTACCTCAGCACCTGCAGCAGCAGCAGCAGCAGTAGAAATTTTCTGTCTTTTCCCTTTTGCACGTGTGTTGGGCTTTCCCTTTGTCTAAGGTATGTATGTATAAGAATTTTGCCAAACCAATCTATCCATGGGCTAAGGGATATACCAAAGGGAACTCAGACCCATCATCACTCCCACTTTGGCCACTAGCATCAGTACTGCCGGAATCCCCTGGCTCGGGCTCCTCCTCGTCGCCATGTGCCCGCTTATGCTTCGAACTCGCGCCCGTAGAAGCGTCATTCATTATGACCGTCATGAGGTTTTGAAATAGAGTGAATTGGGAAGATGGTGAAGCTGATATATAGCTATTTATATCGGCTCAACTATATGGATTCCTTCCTGCTGCTGCGGACTGAATCTTTGCTATGCAGGGACGTAGTATCTCTTTATCATATACCTTCTACCATACCCACAGGCTTTCTTTTCATGTCGTAAAGACTGGCGGGAGCTGTGATGTCAGTAGAATCTATGTTGGTGTGTTTGTTGATCACCGCAGAGCTTCCAAAGAGGCTTCGAATGTGATTGAAGACGCTTGGGCGCAAACCCTTTAATTTGGTGATGAATGAGAGCCTGAAAGACGGTGTGTGTGTTGATGAAAGGGAGGCTTCAAATATTGGCTAGTGGAAATCAATAGAAGCCGGAGGTTTGACAAGTTGGTTGTTCATATCGACAAGAGTCTGTGCGGTGTATTGCCACTTCATTTGTGATGTTTGGGCAGGTTTGTGGTCTTTCTCTCTTCCTACTCCTTTACTCGTACGCGTGTTCATAGCTAGAGGCTAAAGCTGTGATGTTGTTGCATTGATGACGATGACGTACGTAGAGTAGCAGTATCAAATTTTGGAGTTGGATACGTAAGGCAGACGAGAGGCCCGAGACTCTGGATCCTTGCAATGCAACACGGTCGTTTATGGGTCATTGATTGATTGTTGATCCTGGGTTGTTGGCAGATGAAGTAATAAACCGACCAAAAGAAAAGGCTTGTGTCCTTGGATCGAATTTGATTGGATCATATCTTAATCGATCGGCTGCTTGGCGGTGGGTAGTTATGTCCGAATCACAGGTTATCACTCGAGAACCTTGCAGGCAAGATTCCGGAGCTGAGAGCTGAATATCTCATCCGCACACCAAAGGAAGGATTCTTGTCCTACTATTCTCTGACCTAAAGATATACAGAACAAGAGAGGCGCAGAGAATCCATGCGGGCAGCTATCTGGGCGTAACAGGGCGGAGAGAAGGTTCCAAACAATTACCTCTTGTATAGTACTGGTATGTAAGACTAGGCTTAAACAAAGATTGAGATATTGATCTCAGCTGAGATAGATCCATGGAAGTTTTGTTTGATGAAGGGCACAATATGTGCTTCGTATGGGTCACAGGTTTTGCTTGCCCCACATTGTTTGCCCGTGAGCACCTAGGTGGAACACAACTAGACGACATTTTGTGCCCCAATGAGCCACGCCTAGGTGCAACCGATTCTCCGGGAACGTGAAATTCAAGTCAAAACTCTACTGCCCTACGCCTACTTTTAATTTACAAAGTCATGCATGCACCATTGAGTTTCCGTATCCGGGTCTTACACACAATCAGGCAGCGCTGGATGTATAGAGGCCCTAGTGAGATTACAATTGTTTGAATACTCATAAGACGTCACGATCACAGTCATTGTGGCCTTCTGGGTGACTTTGGTGGGGGGCCGGCGGCTTCTTCGCAATGGGCGCCGATAAACTATAAAATACTAGCAAGGCTTTATCCGATTATGCACGGCTATATCGATCTATATGTAAGGCGACAAGGCCTTTTATTTACGACTATTGCGGTACCTACTTAACCCCGTCTTACTTCCAGATCTTGGCTAGGTTTGGTTTCGCAGGCAGTATGCCAGAGGTCACGTGAAGGTTTACTGAACCGCTGAACAACGTATCACGTGCGATGACGGGCAAGCGGCGTTGTTTTTAACCAGGTACCTGAATGTAGATACATGTACGTAAGATTCAATTACATGTACGTTGATGGGGTTTGCCTACTATGTAATCCCGAATAACAAACTTATGATTTCGGAAACCTTAAAGATGATATTATTGGCTATGATAAAATGTAGCAGGACCTGGTATTTTTCTTAGCGAATTCACGATTCACCCGTACCCGGCTTACCCTAACACTCACGCATATGTACCCCTACATGCAGGCTTACTATCGTCCTCGTGCGTCAAGCCACCTACGCCCCACACTTACCACATTACGGCCGTGGTATGGGACAGAGACTCACATGAACAACTTCAAAAAGGTACCATGTAGTATAGTACCCTACAGGCGCACATCTACAACAGGTACCTAGTACGCATGTATTGCTGTGCCGAAGGCATGGTATATAGGGTCGGAATCGGTATTGTGTGTGACGTCACACGTGTACTTGATTAGAGTAAAGTGCTGTCGTTTACGGGGTATTGACGGACACTGGTTGTTGACGGATAAGCCAAAAGAGAGGCAGCTAAGCCCAGTTTTCGCACTTGTCCGTCAACACCCAGTGCCCGTCAATACCCCGTGAACGACAGTAAAGTTCTTAGAACTGTGGATTTGAGTACGCATATACGTAGAAGTATGAATGCCCAACTATACTACATGTGAGTTAATTGCGTATCTTAGGACACTATCTGATGCCGGAGTTGTCCTAACGGGTCGGAAGGCTGGATCGGACTACTTGGTTGCTTATATATATGTGCGTAGCTTTAGTATATTTTGTCATTGTCATGCTATATCAATCGCTTATAAAGCTTAAGTTACATGTAGTTGCACAGCTGAAATGAGATTCTAATTTCTGCTAGTGTACCTTGGACCTAGGCGAATTATGTAATTCCGGTGCTGATCAATACAAGGAACCTGTCACTCAAACGTTACATAAGGTCGTCTCGCTAAATCGGTTGATGAAACTCTCGTGGCTATGCTGCTGCTACAGGTGAGATGTATCATCGGGACGTGCGGCGACCGTGTGTGCTCGAATTTTGCACCGCATGTGTGACCGAATGCTTATATTTAGGAACATACAGAGAAGTCGAACTTACGGATAGCTACAGCCAGGAAGCGGCCCGTGTGCTGATATGCTGGAAGGCTGAAACCTAAGATAGTGGCCGGCACCGCAGCCGTATTTACGTTACCAACAGCAACCTAAAAACATGACCCAATGAGAACACCAAGCGATATCTTGAGCCTTTGGTTGATACATATCACGGGATGCTTGTAGTTGGATATGTTTGCATAAACAGTTCCAACATGTGTTGGAACTGAGGTGTGAGTTGGAGATGCCTTCAAGTTCCCAGCTTCTGTTCCCATGCGCCTACTCTAAAATACAGATAGGAATAAACCGCTAATAATTAAATTTGATGTTGGGGAGCACTTTGAATGTATGATGAAAAATGTAGATATAAGACTCTACCACATGTCGAGTTGATTGATTCACTTTTGCCAAGACTTGTATTATGCGCACAAGACTTCTGGCTGGAAAGGGTCTTTACTCTGTGGGGTGCCGAGCTGATCTATTGGAATAGAATCGATTACTCACGATGACCAGGCATGCGTGTACTTACATAAGTAGGTGTGGTCAAACCACTAGGGGCGTATGTAATTTATGTAAGTCCATTGTTAGAATATGTGGACGAATCATAGGATCTCACTCTGGCCTGAACGTCATTTCCCTTACTCCATTCAAACCTTAATAAAGTACCGCTCGGTGTACATGCAGGTATTACAAGAACGGGAATTAAACAACGACGCGTCGAGAAGAAATATCAACCCCATGTAAACAAACTTCGGGAAAGACATCGCGGAGCTAGTTACATGTACTTAACTACATGTATAGGACCATCATCATATCTGCATATATTATGGAACAAGTATCCTACAGATACAACCATCGCGCGCCCTTCTGCGACATGTGCACGCCCAGAGTCAAAAACTACAGTAAAATATTTTCTGGGTCAATGACGAATGACCAAATCAGCCAAGATCATGCTGTCTCATCCGGATAGAATATTACGCGTTTTCGTTCTAGATCTTCCTTACTTAATGCATACGCAAAAGAGCTAGAAAATTTCCCTAATAGGAGTCATGATGTGTACGTATGCTTGTTAGTTTTTTCTACGTACTTGTTTGTTTTTATTATATAATAGTGGGATAGCCCAAGGACAAGTTATAAATACATGACATGTAATTACACTAATCACACTATTGAAATCACACTGTTCCTGACATTTGCAACGTATACTTTATACCCATTGATGGGCTGGTGCGGTTATTCTAGGGCAATAAATGCGCATTTGTTATTGGTCAGGCTCGCCGTTCGCCCAGATCAAAGGACTATATGTATATACTGCCCGAGCAACAGTGGATACATACTGCAGCTGCAGATATTCCTTGTGCAACGACTGATCATTATTTAGAATATCGCATACGGAAATGAACATCCCGGCTAAATACAGGCTCCAACGATAAACTCTAGAAATAGGTAGTACTATCAACTCCAAATGCTAAATGCCTTGCAGGGCCAAGCAGACTCTTAAGGCGAGTTGAATTGAGCATATTGAAAGAGAAAGCTCTAGAACCTGATATATACCTAGTAAGGCCGAGGCATCTTAATTGTTCCTGCCAATATCAGACAACTAACCCCACAGCCAAGCCATCTCGTGGGACCATCAACCGCTTCCAAATCCGAAATCTCCGGTGCCGTGCTACCACCAATAAAGCCACAAGATTGAGAACCCACACATTAAGCGAATGTGCGGAGAAAATAGACTACTATGCACGTAAAATCTCCGCGTGCAACGGCGGTTTTGTCCGAATTCAAGATAGACTTTACCCAGGGGCTTGGATATCGTCTGATGGCGGAGATCGATTCCGACAATGTTAATTGGGGAACTGAAGATTTTTAATTGATTTTTCGGAGGAGAGTGTACAGTCCCGAATATGTGGCTTTAGATGAGGGGAAATGTCTCCTGGCATTGCTGGGCATTATTGTCTCTAGCTTGATGTTGTTATGGGTGAATACATGTAGGTACATCTTGTACTTATAAATACTGGCTGCCAATGGAACTTTTGATGTGATCTCGATAGGCATTCGATCATAAAGCAGCAGATATGAAGTATTTAGCACTTGTTACAGTCTTGAGTGCCGTGCTATCTCCTGTGTTGGCACAGGTTCCGGTTTATGGACAATGTACGTTTTTTAATTCTCCTATTTGTTGATATTAATATTTGAACCGAAATAGCTGATCATGATACTTCATCTCCCAGGCGGTGGGGTAACTTATACAGGATCAACAACATGTGCAAGCGGATCCACCTGCATCAAATATAGTGACTGTAAGTGAAATATCTAAATCTGCCATTGATATACGAATGGGCTCTTATATATTCAGACTACTATCAATGCGTTCCTGGCACCGCAACAACTACCGCAGCTCCAGTAACAACTACCACGCGAGTTACCACTACTACAGTTCCAGTAACCACAACTTCCCAAGGGGGTTCTTCACCCACTGCTTCTGGTGTAGTGACGAGATCTGGGACAACATTCATGCTGAACGGAAAGAAGTTTTATTTCGTTGGATGTAAGTTTGAGTTCTCTAAGGAAAGAACATGGCAGTAACAACCCGATAGCAAATGCATACTGGCTTCCTATGCTTGCGAGTACAGTAGATGTTGATAAGGCTCTTGATGATTTTAAGGCTTCTGGAATGGATGTTCTTCGTATATGGGGATTTGCAGACCTCACCAGTAGCTCTGGTACTCAAACGGCATTTCAGGTAGGTTTCTTTTGCGCTTCTGGAAAGGATTGAAGCCAATCACTGAGTTCTCTAGGTCTGGAGCGGCAGCACTCCTACAATCAATACTGGAGCCAATGGACTCCAAAGACTTGACTACATCGTTGCTGCAGCAAGAGCTCGAAACATTCGCCTTGTGATTCCGCTCGTCAACAACTGGTAGAAGACAATTGAATTAAATTGGGTTTATTAAGGGACGAGCTAATTTTGATATGTGTAGGCAAGATTACGGCGGTATGGACAGATATGTCCAATCAATGTTGGGATCTGGAGGCCTACATGATGACTTCTACACAAATGCGAACATCAAGGCTGCCTATAAGAATTATGTTAAAGCTGTGGTTACAAGATACAGTTCGAGTGAACCTGCAATATTTGCTTGGCAATTAACGAATGAGGTATATATATCCTGATGTTAAGGATTTTGCTTGCTCATTTTTAGCTAATCATAATTATAACCAAAGCTTCGCTGTAAAGGGACTCTTACGGCGAGTTCATCTTGTAACGCCGCAACACTTACGAATTGGGTAAACGAGATGTCCACATATATCAAGTCACTTGACCCGACCCACATGGTTTCTGTTGGTGATGAAGGCTTCTTCAATCGTGCAGGAAACTCTGAATGGGAGTATGGCGGTGGAGAAGGGGTAAAATACCTTTCAAATTCAGAATCAGATCAGTAAAGGTTGTATGCATCTGACCTAATTGGTTTATTTAGGTTGATAATGAAGCTTACCTCAGGTTGGCTAATGTCGACTACGGAACTTTCCATCTCTATGTTAGTTCTTGGAGCAAGACTTATGCATGGGGTGATCAATGGATCAAAGACCATGCTGCTGTCGCAACATCTGTAGGGAGTATGTTACCTTCCTTCGTGTTTCCCACTCATAAATGCATAATACAGCACTAACCAAAACCAAATTTAGAGCCCATGGTTTTCGAGGAATATGGCGTTCCACGCTCAAGTGGTCAGCGTTTGACCGTCATCCGCACCTGGCATGATATTGTTCTCGCAAACGCAATTGCTGGTGACATGTAGTATGTGTTCCTACCTATCTTACATCATATCATGATCATATGCGTCACATTGTTAACATCATTTAGCTGGCAATTTGGGACTGTTCTCCCGAGCGCTGGAAGGACCCACGATGATACCAATACCATTTTCACGGATGACGCTGAGTATAACGAACTTGTGGTACAGTATGTTCCACGAATGGAGGCGAAGAACGCATGAAAAATAAATGAGAGTCAGCCCTATCTCTTCTAGGGAGGTGTATATATGCAACCCACAGGGTTTAGGCGCGAATAGTTGCCCTGTGCAGTGAAAGTGGCAATCTTTGTAGAATCTGAATGCTCAGTTCGACTATCTCAACCTTCTGTATCGCCGAATTTACCTTATGAGTGATGCTCCGCGATCCGTCAGGAACTACCGAAGATCATGATGAGCTGAGTTAAAGTTTCCAAATGGTTTCTGTATTTTGAATTTAACGCAGTAGTCCAGTGCAGCATTAACACATCGGAAGGTCCGTCAGGAAGTTATTTCAGCCATCATTGCTATGCCTATATATGTGGACTGTGACTCCGTTATTTCGTGACCTTAGTGGTACAGAGAATGTAGTATGAGCTTATTATCAGTAATAATGGGTTCAGTCCCTTCCTGCTCCTTTCCCCGGAAATGTGAAAAATCCATACGACGTGTCAAAGATAAAAGCAATTCTGACTCGAGATGAACCTACATGAAAACCTCTTATATTTAAGAGTAAGTACACACATGGATCTGTATATACTTATATAATTGCTTTTCATATGTACTCTAATCCTGTTTATAATTTACCAGAGAAAATTAACAACGTTAGCGTAGTGTGTATAGGGCGCATAATCGCCCCACACTTCCATTAATGAGTGTAACAGTTGAACGGGATCAATCTTGGTTGTATGCGTACAGATAGATCTTGGTAAATGTGAATATGTATTTGTTTGGCTGAGCTCGTGGATTCCAAAAATACGTGTTCCCTAGAGCACAGTACTGCAATCGAGAGGCCGTTTCAATATCGTGGAACTACTACATGTGCCTGCATTCCTCCGTAAAATGAATTTGGCGAACTGGTAACCAATCAGGTCAACTCCATCCGCGGAATGAAGACTCGCGAATCATCAGGCATCTGGGGTATATGTTATACAACGTGCACGTGCGCGCGCCCATTCATTCTTCTCTGCCGATCTTTATTTACACAAGGCGTTTTTATCACAGACCATCCATCAGATGAGGCAAGGCAAGGTCTTGCCGGCGCCAAAGGGAGCGAGATCGTATCACGACTGGGAACCTCACGATAGATACATGTACCTCATCTCACCCTGTATTTTGCGCAGGAGGAGAAGGAGTCTTGTGAGTCGCTTGTTTCAATCAAAAGCCGTACATCATTCATCCCTGGAATGGCAAACGGCAAGAAGAAACAAATCCACATCAGGTACACATACCTGCTCATAGGGCAGACATGCTACTACGCATTGGGGTGCATGTAGGGCATGTAGATCTGCGGCACAGTTTGGCGATTTCAGGGGTATCTTTTCCCCTTTTGCGTCACTTCAGCCCTATGGAGGTATCATTCAGTAATTAAACTCTGCTACTTGCGTGTAGCTGCGTTATGTGGGAAGTTGGAAGCTGGAAATGTGGTGGGTATGGTGATGATGATAAGACAGTGATGGTGGTGTGGTGGATATATGATTCATGATCGATATTAGATGGAATGAGATTAGGGTCAAAGGTAAGGTCACAGCTATACCCTATAGTGTACGCAGATTGCGAACTCATATGGCCAGCCAGGAAGAGTGTACTTAATCTCGGAGGAGTGTGCGGAATTAATGGCCTTTTCAGAATGTTGATTAAGTAAGCAGTATTACACTACGATAGGTACAGTGACTAGCTGGGCTACCAGAAGTGCTTACTTGGGGGCGTCGGTAAAGAACGATCCGATTATTAACTGGCTACACGGAATATTACCTGCGAGCTCAGACGGATTTCAAAGCAAATCGTCTTTGGGGATGATCGAGTAGAATCAGGATATCGGGTTCCTGACTCAGTTTCAGACCAGTCAGTGGATATCAAGTTCCCGGCCGTGCCGGCCCTCGACTTAAGCTTTGTAGGCGGGACGTTAAATAGTTTGTGCTGCACGAACAGACGCTTGTACCTGTAGGTCCCTGCGGTTAGATATAGATGTAACTACATGTACATGCTTAATGGACCTAATAATAACATAGTTCTCCATTTCCTGTCGATGCCATGTGTAACCAGTATTCCCACGGTTGAAAGCTTAGGAAATAACAAAAGCAAAGCCAGAAACTACATACATCCAGGGTCTGCGATGTCACCTAAAACGGCGAGGCGCAATGAAGTCAGATCTGATCTCCGAGAATCTGGCCAGGTGATATCACAAGCCCACCCACACCGCCATAGGGCAGAATTAATCTCAGTATTATCAAGCTACAAATATATATATACGTGAGTTCGCATATGGTGGTTCGCACGGGCCAGGCGGACAAAGGTTCGACCGGGCTCGGCGACATGATTCGCTCGCTAGACGGAAGGTTAAAATCCACCGAGATGTGTCCGAGTCTACCTTGCCTCGGCTCCGATAACTGTCCAGGCATTATATATTACTCAGGCTGGATTTGCCCAATCGTCCGTGATTTTAGGTTAAACGTGGGGAAAGAGGAGGAGGAGGCTGTGGTGAAGATACAACGGGCGATAACTTGGAGAGGGTGGGTTAGGTGGGAATCTCTACGTAGCTACCCCCATGGCCAAGTCCCCGATATATTGAGCGAGCGAGGGAGGGATGGCTGGGCCGTTGTGCTTGTTACTATAAAAAGAATCCCATCACGATTCTAACATTCGTCTAAGGAAGGACCTAAAACGGGTACCTACATCGCTATGCACCTTGCACCTACAGCGTAGAGCAGAATTCGCGGTCAAGAAACCGCCACAAAATGGCGTTTTCGGCGGACGGCCGGAGCTAATGGAATGTAAAGCTCTCGGGACGGGAGTGCCGAACGTGCAACTCCCTAGCTACTCTACACGACGATTCCTACTGGTAGAAGAGGCGATAAAGTGCACATATCTATTGGTGAGAATCGCACTTGGACGTTGGGGAATTCTGGTGGCTTACTGCGAGGCTTGAGGCTTATGTAGCTACATGTAATTACTTGGACCGTTCGGAGTTGCTATGAATCAACACTGGGCATGAAACCAGAGCCACTAGTCGAACGACGTTCCGCTTTCTTCGGCTAGCTAGCGTCATCGTGGATATGATGTAGCTACATGTAGTAGTGCTGTAGGAAGACCTTTAAAATCACGTCGGTCCGAAAATATCATTATCGTCATCTGCATATTTTGCCTTCAAATGCATACAGGTATTCACATTAGGCATGACTTGGTTGAAGTTGTCTCATTCATCCAAGACCACCTTGATCTGGATTAGTGATCTAACAATTAAGGAATCAAACCTGTCGTCTAGCTAGCTCCACGATATTTTTGTCTTCACAACAGAGCAAGTTAATCGAGGCAGAACAGCAGGCTATTTCCGTTCGCTTGACCGTATCTGTGGGGGAGATGGGGAGGACGTTGGTACCTGCTGGGGTAGCTAAATAGGTACAGCGGTAGGTAAAAAGTGATGGAACACGCTGAGACACAGTGATACCTGTTTTGGGTAAAACGCCACCAACATACGGTGTTTGCAGGTATAACTATATCTCAGGGCGTTCCATCACTTATTACCTGTCGCTGTACATCATGGTTCGTCCTACTGCGAACATCGCTTTCGGTGGACAATCTGAAACGTCCAACCCCGTACAATCCGAACCAATCGATAGAAGAATTCACTCATGCGGTTCAGCAATGCAGCGAAGAAGGAAGGAAGGAATAAAGAAGGATTTGCAAGAACGTACCAGTCCCGGGGTATCGTCGGTTATTACACAAGGTCTTCTTGTGTCATTTCCCATCTCAACCAACAGGGTAGTTTGGTCTATGATGGGGGGGGGGGGGTTCCCGTTTGCGCCGCAACCATGCAGGTGAAAAAGATATTTTCGTCGTGGCGGAGGGTTGAGGGCCGGCAAGCTAAACTGACTAAGTATCCTTGCACTACCTTTATCTTTGCGGAAGTAGAGGGAAAGACGTTATTCGAAAAGAGGAAGGAACCTTTTGAAACGCTGTTGCTTTCGTATCGCTGCGATTAAGAGTGGGAAACACGATTTATCTGCACCGCACATCACGATAGACTATGATTTACTCGGTAAGGTGCAATAAAGCTGATCGCTGCTAATTAATCAACTTGCAAGTGTTTCTTTGAAACTGTGTACCCATCGATACTTGACCCCTCTTTGCGCTGCCACAAAGATCATGACATTCTAAATATGAGAATATCTATATCTTCCTACATGAAGAAAACTAAAACACTAATCAAGCTTGATTGTAGTCAAGTCACAAAATATCTATAAGTATATACTCGATATTTAGTGCTAGAGACCGGTACTGTGCTATCATGCGAGAACCCTCTCACTGTAGACTCTATTGGGTATATCATCACCATCATCTGGTGTAAACAAAGCTGTACTAGAAACGCAGTCCAGGATATATTTAAAATCCAGGTTCTATGAGACCTGGAGTTACCAATGAGCTAAATAAGGTTGCCCTGATCTATGGAGAGTGCTTACCTCAAGCCTTTCTCACTCACTCTCAAACACCATCCACCCCCTTAAACTAATCCTGTTATGTACTCCCATAGCCCATCATTGCATGCAAACATGCATATGACGTTCTGCATATTATTGTACAGAGCACATGTAGTCTATTTATGCCGGCCAAATGCGGGAAGCAAAACCAAGTGGATAACAAACCTGGGCAGCTGCTATGGGTGTGGTGGGGGAGGGGTGCAGATCAAACTCATTGAGATTCTCGCTAGAACTATCATACATACATGTACCAAGCTCTTTGGATCCTGTGCACACATCCCAGTCATCATTCCATTTAATTGTGCCATGTGGGTACGATGCACCCTGCCGGGGGCTCCGCGATCTCGAAGGTATCTATTTTTTGAAAATGTTAGGATGAATATTGCTTCGCCGAGAGGCACAAGTAGTGGTACCAGGGTTCGATGGTGGGGTGTGCGAGAAGAATGCGATTCCCAAGTCTGACGCAGATCAGGGAAAACGCGGTATTGCCATGCACAGCTGTGCTTAATC